GACTTCCTGGCATTTGATATTCCCAGCCTTTGGCCAAAAGAAATACATTAAACATGAGATTTGTCTCTTAAATGTTGCCCCAAGTGAGCAGTGTGTGATGGTCTCGGAGGCCTCCCACGTCTTGGACAATCACATGAGCACTTCTGCTGGAAGCCAATCCCACACTGCTGAACACCACCGCAGACATCTTCAGAAAACCTCTGTGACCACAGCCTTGGAGAACACCAGGCTTCAGCTGAGAACCACCTCTCTAGGAAAGCCCCACAGATGCCACGTCCAGCTTTCAATCCTGATGCAATGACTAAAAGACCAGGAACTGTCTGGCTCTGTTTCAAGTTTCTGTCACAGGACCATTGTATTTACGAGTGTGCAAATTGTGGCTTTGAGTCAAAATATACTCTGCCCTTCCCTCCCCCCTCCCAGCTCTAATAATGGACTTACAAAAGATGCTGTCCCATGCTGCCCCTGGTATTAAAGACTTTACAATGGACTATTCATCAAGCAATCCTTTTTCCTTCTTTTCCTCAATTATTAAAGCTGATGACTTACACAACTGCACTGCACAGGCTTCCAATACCACTTTTTACCCCTCCAGCCACTTAAAATTAGCTGTTCTTTTGTGCCAATTCCTCTCTCCTCCAAATTACCTAGGAATTTTACACATGCATATTGAATACTTTAGAGAAATTAAGGCAAGAAATCTGCTAGATGTAACTTTTGTTCAGTGAACTGGTTAAGTTAGGGAAGACATTGCATTAGTCTAACAGGACATACCTTTAGCAAACTTGAGTTTTCACACATGTTGTTCACAACTGTCTGGGGTTGAGGCAAATAAAATGAGAATCCCTTAGAGTTCTCTTCTGATTATGCAGTCCCTGATTTAGCTTCGAGTTCCTCAAGTTACTCCAGTGGGTGTGCAAACCAGTCATAGATAAGAGAACCAAATGCTACTTTGCTACAACGTAAATAACATCAGTAGTTTGAGTATAACCAAGTAACACTTGAAACAGTTGGACAGAAAAATATTTTTAAATGGTCAAAGTGGCAGTCATAATAAATCACACAGAATAGGAGTTTCTCTGCATTAAGGTTTAACTTTCAGTCTGAGCTCCTTCACAAAAAAAAAAAAAAAGCTAAATAATCCTCTTTAAGAAGCCTTTCATGTCAAATTACACACCAATCAGTACCTACAAACACTGGCAGAGCTACTAAAAAGGTAGACCCAGACGGACCTGGATTAAATGCTGTCTGAAGCAAAGTCAGATAAGCTTGAAAGCTCTAACAGAATATTAAACGCATTTCCACAGGTGGCCCAAGTTGCTCTCTCCACCTGTTTTGTGTCAGGAATCAGTTCCTTTACACACACATTTGGGTCAAAAAATCCCAAACCAAACAAACCCAAGAAAATACCAAACAACAACAACAACAGAATCCCACCACAACAAAAAAAAAACAACAAAGGAAATAAAATTCTACTGAAAGAATTTAGAACTGCACCTGAAAAACAACCCACCCCAAAACACAAAGAAGTAAAATTGGTCTTATAATAGCAATCTTTATTCAAGACAGATTGAAAATAAATACTTGCCAGTAGTTCACTTACTCTGAAAACAGAAATCAAAAATAATCTATTTCATCAGTATTAACCATTTTAAAATTAGCTGATGAGCTCCAGCTTATTTCAAGTACACATAAATTTCAAGGCAACAGAGAATGTATTTATAATTTTTATGTGTGTATATATACACACATATTGCATATATACACATATTTTGCTGCCACCTTGTGAACAGTCTCTGAATAGGGAGGTTTGGTTCATACAGATCCAACGCTGCCATCTTTGTTCACATTTAGACCAACTGACTTTAACACAGATACTTTTTAAATGGTGCTCAATATGACAAAGGATGACTGAATCAAGTGCTTAGTGCAGAAAATTTTAAAAGGTTGAATCTAAGAGCTCTTATTCTTCCACAATTTCCATGCACTTGTGTCCCAGTTTATTGCCACAACCATTATGGAAAACATCACTAAATTCTTTCTGATAAAAATATTGCAGCTTTGCATCCAAGTTGTATGGCTGTCTTCAAAACAGAATAAGCTGGTGTCTGTAAAAAGAATAAAAGATTAAACACATCTGAAGTGTTTTGCTTGAACCAAAATGTGATAAGGAATAGTAAGCATCGTATAAAAACAAAACACACACACACACAAAAAAAAATCCCACCACAGAGAAAACTAAACTAAAATCTTTGCAGAATATTTCCATTTCTCCCCAAATGTAAGTCAGGAGAAAAATAAGGAGAGAAGCCACACGCTTCTCATCTATTATTCCAGGGAGCACAGAATTCAGTTCAATATTTCACAATTCCTAACAGGGTTGTGACCACCTACCAAGATGATGCCTCAAGTTCCCACCTCTATGAGTAGCACTTATTAGCCTTATCTTCAAAAATATCTAATCTAAACTTAACTTACAATAAAATTTAAAATTTTGCAGAGCAAACCTCTGGGGAAAACACAATCACTTCAACACTTGACATAAGTTCCAACAGATTTGGTTCTCCTCCAGAAAAATGAAAGCTGTAATATTGCAGGGCTTTCTTCTCTGGATCTTTGGGAAAGAATAACATTTTACTTACTGCTTCTGCATCGTGCTCTATCCCAATGTCATGGTGCTCCCGTTCATCATCCCGAAATTGCTTTATTACCTTTAAAAATAGCAGGTAATTAGCAAGCCTACTTTGCAGACAAATCAAGGCAGCTGGTACACAAAACTATCTGCCATTGACCACTGCATGCACCACAGCAAGCTGAGGTCTCTCAAGAAACTTCTCAAAGATCTGAATCTCTAATTCAGAAAGAAGGGAATTCTTTACAGTATTCTCCAAAGAAAGTCTTTAAGGCCAAGGTGCTGTTTAATATATCACTATCTTTTTCACTGTTTCAAAAAAACTTATAGTCACAGTAAACTTTTAACACTGATTAGTTTCACACACACACATACATTATTCTGACAATCTGAATAAGGAAATTAAGGTCTTTTTCTTGCCAATCAGTAGGGATGTTTCCCTGTAGGCCAACTGGGATTTTGTCTATTCTAAAGAACTCTTTTTTCAAGTTTTTCAGCTGGCACCAAAAGGCAATGTGTGCAGCTCTGGGCCCTGCAGTTTAAGGAGGATGTGAAGGTACCTGAATGCGTTCAGAGCAGGGCAACAAAGCTACTATGCAATCATATTTCTGCCTTTTGTTTCCCCTTCAGACCCTTCTTTTCAATTAATCAAAATTAAAGCACAATTCTCCCACTTGAAAGGGAAACGCTGAGTTACTGAAAGTATGCTGAAGGCAACCCAACATACATTTTAATTTTGGTGCTTGATCAATTTAGTGTTGCTGAAGGAAAAAAACATCCTTTTATCTTAAAAGTTTCTGCTGACTTCAGCATTCTAAGTGACAGACACAAAGAGAGCTACTGTAAATTCTACAAGCATGTTATTTTTAAAAGACTAAAGCTGCATCAGGTAATTCAATGAGTTTGTTAAGCTACTTTTTAAGTCAGTTAAATACCTGCAGTAGTTCTTTGTACTTTTCTGGATCTTCTTCCATCAGAGTTCGGATCTGGTTGTTGTAGTGGTCTGATATACTCTCTTCCACTGCCACTGTGCAAGCCATGGCACCCTTCTTTCCCAGTAAAGCACTTCCAGCCCCTGTGGTTGTGGTGCCAAACATACGAACACAATGAAATCTGAAGCAACACAAATAATTTGTGCATTTGTAGACTTCATACAATGCCAACAACAACGAAACAACAATAACAACAATAATAATACTAACCCACCTAAAACAAAACCTGCTACATTCCAGAAAGGCAATAAAACAGTAGGTCGAACTCTGTATGCAACCATGAGCTCATTGAACTTTTTCAGGTGGACTTTTTCTTGATTCCACATTTGCTGCAAAAGAGCCAGATCACAGTGAAGTACAAAAATCACAGAAGTTAAAGGTTTCCAGTAAAACTAATAAACTGCAAAGAAAAACAAAACAAAACCACACTGTGATAGCTGAGGTAACACTATAACATCACAGAGAAAAATTGAAGAAGGGCAGACGAGGATAGTAACAAAAAGGCAACATAAAAACACTTGGGAAAATAGGACAACACTACAGCATCTGTAGTACTGGTAACTTCCTTAGCAAGTAATCCCACCCCTCTTTACAAACACATCCCTTTGGACGTGCTTAGAAAAAGACGTACAACACACTTGCCACGAAAGCGATGACCTTTCACCTTCATCCGGTGCTGTTAATTAGACGCAAATTAACACAGCGCTCACCCTCAGGCCCACTGACCTGGATGACCGGTCCCACGCTCGACCTGCCCAGCACGGCCATTTGCCCCGCGTAAATGCGGTTGGCCCCGTACTCCCCCGCGTGGTCCACGCGGATGATGCGGTCTATGACGGGCTTGTTGATGCCCTGCGGAGCCGCCTGCGTGCTGCAGGGTCTGGGAGCGGCCCCGCCGGCGGGCACAGGCCGCGGACCTGTCGGAGAGACAAAGGTGACACGAGCTCCGCTACGCCCAGCCCCGGCCGAGGCGCTGCCCCCTGCGGGGCCGGGCGGCGGGGCGGGGGTGTGAGGGGCGGGCAGGGAGCGGAGCCATGCCCATACCGGGCCCGCAGCGGAGGCAACGACGCCGCCCCAGCGAGAGCCGCACCGCCGGTACCGCGGCCACCGCCGCCATCGCGCTGATCCACGGCGGCTCCTCCCAACGTCATCACCGCGCGCCGACCTCCCGCCCTATCGCGACTCCGATTGGCTCCCCCGAGCCGCCGCATTGGGCAGCCCAGCTGTCAGTCAGAGCCGGCGTCGCCCGGTTGCCATGGGAACGATGTTCACCATTCCCGCCCCCGGGGGCCGAGGCGGGAACCGCGGGTGGAGCGCTGAGGGCGCGGCCGCGCCCGCGGCCACCGCGACCTGCTGTAAAACATCACACCTTGGAGTAAAAAATAGAACATTTATTGAACGCTAATCTCTTTAAAATGAAGGCAGAAAACATCCCGGAGCGTTACATAAAAAGGATAGTGTCTCACATTAACCAAAGAGCAGATTTCAAGGAATATACACAATTCTGTACAGAAAATCCTTAACACCAGTCTTTAAATAAAGGAATCTCTGTTAGTAACCTCCCAGAACACACTGCTGCGACTCACATGGCCCCAGCAGTGCAGATAAGTGAGAAGAAACGTGTAATTAAGGGGCACTGACACACAGTGTTACCAACCAATAACTCTTAAATATTCACATTTTAGAGTAAAAAGAACAGTAGTCAAGATGCTCACACAAGAATAAAACACAAATAATAATGCTTAAAAACATTAAAAAGAGGGGGGGAAAAAAAGAAAAAGAAATAAAAGAGCCCTCCACAGCAGCTGGTGCCCAAGCAGGGCTGTGCCTGCTGACCTGGCTGCTCTTCTCCTCCTACACCCCAGTGTTTATTCAGAGCTCTTTTATCATAAGAGTTATTGTTTTCTCTGAGCCATTTTGCGACGTTATCCAGTGTTCAACCGCACTTGCTACTTCAGAGCAAAATAAATATAAAAGCCTCATCTCTAAAAATATTTAGAAAACTGATTTCAAACCCATCTGTGGCATTTTCTTCTCCCATGCACCGTTTCAAAATACTTGCCTACATCTTTCTTTTGCTTCGGTTTTAAAAAGATAAGTGAGTTGGAAACATGTAGTACCATACCTTTCCCCTCCCTCATGATTCTTAGAGCATAATTTGTAAAAACAGTACAAGAGAGTTTCAGTTATGATCACATTTTACCCCAACTCTTTGGAAAAATAGGGACTTAAAAAATCCCAACAACCCTGAAGCTGGAGCAGCAATAAAGTGTCCTACCACACAATTTTTTCAACAGGTCTAACAAAGTATAAATTAGCTGAATGTCCAGTTTTGGAAACTTTAGGCCCTACTGGCTTAATCAAGACTAAGACCACAAGTGTTCATTACATAGACTGCAGTGCCATGGTGCCAGTTAGCTGCTCAATTTTTTGGTGCTGCAGATGCTTCTACTCTTATCTTGTGGTTCTGGGAGTTTCAGGAAGTCAAATTCTTTTGGCTTTCATGATTTTCAAGGACGCCTCTTAGCTTCTGTTATCTTTCTGATTAGGAACATCTTGTCACGACTCTCCTGGAAAGACAGAATAAAAAGTATGCTCTACATGAACAGTGTTATTACAAGTTATCTATGAACAGCTCATTTCTTTATTAGAAATAAATAGGTGTACTCACTACATTGTACTCTCATTAGTGGCTCCCAGAACACTCTCAACTGCCTGAACAATTTTACGTTTACAATAGCCTTGACTTCATTTATCTCACATTATGTCACACATTAACAGTTCTGCATTGAGCCTAGTAAAAGCATCTCACACACCTAAATATTTAAAACCCTACTTCCAGGAAGTATAACAACAGTGAGCAAACAAAAATAAAAAGCATGCAATAATTTTCAGAATTCCTAATTGATCTGCAAACCCTTCAAAAAGCAGGCAGGCTTTTGTTCCTAAATTCCCTACTCCTCAAAAATCTCTCTCCAGCAGTTTTTTTCTACAGATGGGTTGTTAAATTCTGTATCTAAAAGAAGCATTACCAAGAAATGGGCTATTTCCTAAGAAAGTGAGAAGTCTCAGTAGTGAAGCTGGGTTCCAACTCAAACAGTTTGTCAGAGCACAGCACATGAGCGATGCCAAACCTGGCAGTGACTTTTTATGGCCACAAAGCAGCATTTCTGCACTAGCAGTCCTTCCCCAAAGGACTGGTTAGCAGGGACTTGTTCCACTTTCAGGACCTGCTCAAAGGGTGCTGGGATCTGCTCTCAGAACGAGACCAGACATGATGCAATAGAAATACAGGCCTGGAGGGAAGGGTAGGGAGTCAGGTGCCTGTTTGTGAGGGCAGAGAAGGAAAACAAGTGGAGGTTGTGCAAGACGGTGAAGGGGATGGGAAGCACAAGATTCAGGTTCTCTTTTGGCAGAAAAAAAAACATGGATGGGTGGATTTAAGCAAGGCAACTGATGACAAAAGGGACACAGCTTTTCAGAGGCCTATCTGTTGCATGTGCGTTGCCTGATATAACCAGACCTTGGTGCAGTTGCAGCTGATACCCAGGAAAATGAACTGCACTGAGAAACACCAAATCTGCTGTGAAATACCATAATTCTTTGGTTATTTTCCTGTGTAATTTGTAAAACATTCTCCACTGCCTGTGCAAACACCAAGTATCCAGGAGACCATAAAAATCGCTGTTCCTCTGCATGCCTCATTTCTGTGCCCCAAAAGTTCTCTTTGTTGTGTCAGTGAAGTGGGTCAAATCTTACCAAAGCCAGTTGTTCTTCCAGCCGCTCAACCACTCGTTTGTGTGCTCCAGCCAAGGCCATAAAATAGAACATAATGAGGCTGCAAACAACAAACAAACATTGTATGTTAGCATCATGCAAAACACCATCGGTCACAAAAAGGCTGTTATGGGCTAGAGAAATGGTCACTTTGTAGGTTCAGATGAGAAGCTGTTGGAGGAAAGAAACATTTCTTAAAAAAAAAAATCATTATGCTGCTGGGGTAGGTTGGGCATAGCTCTGCTCAAAAGCATCTGCTGAGAGATTTGTGCTGCCAGCAGGAAGGGCCTGTGTTAGGGAGTGCCAGGGGACAGGGAGGCACAACACAGATGTTACAGGCTGCATTCTGACAGCTCTGTCTACACTGCTAGTTCCTGCCCTGCTCTAAGTGTATGTATGGGGGGGTTGTTCCTGAGAAATTAGGTTTAATGAGGCTTCACTGGAGTAACTCTGCTCCCATTGGGGTTTCTAACTAAGGTAAGCAGCCACAGATGAGTATGGCAGCCATTCTGTATAGCACATATCCCAGTGTAATCTGTGACTCTGATTATGCACAGTGCATTAAATGATGAAAAATAACAAGATCCAGAACAGTAAAAATACCTATATAAATCATGTATTTTCTTTTCCAAATAATAAGCAGTAGGGTAGTAGTGCAAGTCATCCTTCATCTTTTACATGGGCTTTATGATAAAGCAAAAAAAGAAAAGAAAAAACAAACAAAGAGGACTTGAGATTTCCTGTATACCTAATAACAGATCCAGTTCAGGAGAACACATAAACATGTGCTATGAAAGAAAGGGCTGGGTGGAGTCTGAAATACACTGCATGGTTTCTCAAGTGTAGCAGTTGTAGAAAGCATCAGGTAACAAGGCTCCAAAGTTTGCACTGAAGTGCACAAAATTCCATTTAAACATAAGAAAAAACCCTTTATACTGGAACACCTGCTCTGCTTGGCTCTGTTTTGAATAGGAGGGTTGAATTAGATGCTCTCTACAGGTGACTTCTGACCTTAAAAATTTTATGATTCTATACTGAATTTTATATTACAGAATTACTGTTTTGAGAGTGTTTTTTAATGTTCGTTTGGTGTTTTAAAACTAAGGTTTGTGAAGAGGAATTGTGATCACAGGACTTACAATGCTCACTTGCAGAGGATTTGCAATTAACATTTTTGAGAATGACAGATATGGGAAGTGAGAGGAAATGGAATAAAGCTACTGAGTGCAAAGACATAAGGGATGAAGATTCACGTGTGCTTCAATGCTTTTGACTGCAAATGAAAAATCTGGTCTAATAGATGTTTGGTATTAGTTCAGTAAGGAAGGAAATGAAGCTGCATAAGTGAATCAGGTCTCCACAGTACTCACCAAACGACCATAAAAAAAGGCACTGCAAAGGCTTCTGATGCCATGCCAAAAAGGACCTGCTGCAGACCTTTTGGAAACCCACGTATTGTATCTGGAACAACTTCCCATGAAGTGTTAAAATTCCTGAATGGCCCACATGCCTTGGAGGAGGGGATACTGTCAAAGAAGCAGAACAGAAAGGAGATGTTACACCAAAATGTAAAGATAAAATAATCCAACACAAGCCCAGCACCATTTTGCCCATGGGGTAAAAGTGTCCTGCGTCTTTAAAACTGTAATTTTTGTTTATATGAACTGAGTTATAATTTGATGCATTATACACTATATATTTAATTCCAATTTATCATTCCAAAGTCGTGTGTCTGCTTTTACGGAACTGACAACTTCAGAACAAGTGTCACCTTCAGAAAAGTTAAGCTGTCACGTATTACCTTGCTATGCTGACTCCCACAGGAATAAAAGCCAAGATGAGCCCAATCAACAGCACTGCCAGGAAGAAAAAGTTGGAACTTGATGCCCTGATGGGCCTATCTGCAGGTTTTCGTGCGTGTATCAAACTGATCTGAGGACGGAAAGCCAGCAAGACTGTTACCAGTACATTTATGTACATACATACATACGAGTATACTTTCCCCACCAGCTGAATTTTCCATTCTCAAACGTCCTACCAGCTACCACACAACCACTCCTTTGATGCACACGGGCTGAAAAGGGCTAAGACAAGAACGCCTTATATTTTGGTGTAAATCTTCTATTCTGATTAATTTGGTCCAGGGAACCTCATGCACTCATGCACAGAGTCAGCAGACATATCCCACCCAGCTTGGATTTTCCATTTTGCTTCCAAATTTTTAGCAGTTTTGCAAAATTTTGCCCAAGTTCTAAGCTGTGTTGCTAATAAATAGATTATTGTAGGAAAGTGTTGTAAAGTAGCTTTAGTACATAAAAAGACTTTATTAAAAAAAAGGACAAATAATTGAAGAGGTAGTAACTGAAATGTGGCTTTGCTTGATCTCAAAGCAAAATTCTACCTTCACTTAACAGTAAAAAACCTACAGAAAATGGAATACTGATTCCAGTACCCTGCATCCACACGTGTTTTTAGGGTTTTTTGTTTGTTTTAGATCACCTGCATACCTAAATATCTATCTTACAAAAACCACGGAGATGTGCTCAGTTTTCTCTGTTAACCATACACCTTCATTACCTTTTTAATGTAAAAGATGATGAAGTATTTAACAGTTGCTATGGCAGGGAGAAGTGGTGAAAAGAAGGTTCCAATCCAGCAAATAGTCTGCCCATAAATGATTTCAAGGACATTGTCAGAAATTCTAAACTCTGACAATCCCCACCACTGAACTGGCTTGCAGGAGCAATGAGTAACTAACAACCTAAAACCAAAGAATATCATTAGTCCTAAATTTAAGGTATAGTGCTCAGATGAATTCTAACACATTTGGAACACACAGAATTTATCATTTAAGCATTAGACAACATTACAGAAAATGTCTGAAGAAAAAAGTCTCAAATATCAAAAGCTACACAGCCACCTGAATAACAAACAAGTGCTCAAACCACCAGAAATAAGTTTATGTGTATTTTAAAATTGGTAACCTGGTTAGAACTAAGAGGAATTAATAACAGAAAAAATATGTTTCACATGTAATTTGCAAAATATGCTCAAAAAACAGAGATACTTACTTTCTAGGAAAGTCCACAAACAGGGTCATACCCAGAATTATAATAAAATCAAATATCATCAGTTTATACATTTCTCGTCCAACGTCAGATTCCCAGCACTATAAAAACAAGTCAGGAAAAACAAGATTAGCAGTCTAAATAACAAGTGAAAAATAAATCTGTCCATCACTAAAGCAACAAACCTCTCAGCTAACACTATAAAGTTCAAATTAACTCTCATTTCTAAAATATTTAAAGTTTCAGAGCTCCCATGCCAAGCTTTTCATTTGTTTGTTTTGGTGGGTTTTGTTTGGTTTGGGTGGTTGGGGCATTTTTTTTTTGAGGAAAAACCATTTGCCTTATCAGAGCAAAAAGCAGCAGCACAACTGTCTCCAAAACACAACCACCTCAAACAATACTGAAGATAGACAGAAAATCTGTGCTAAATGATCATCTGCCACTGGACTAATTCCAAGTTTTAGACAAACAAAAGATCCATGTAATAACTGTACTGGTTTGCACTGAGCAGTGAGAATCAGCACCAGGTATAACATGAATGGCAACCCCAGGGCTGATACTGAACACCTCTAGACAAGCAACTCTCAGGGAAAACAAATCCCTGTTCACAAGTTCAGATGATTAAAGACCAAGATAAATCTGCTTACAGGATAGAGTTTGTAATTGTATCCACAGGGCTCACACTTGTCAGCGGCACAGTTGGAGATCTGACTCCACAGAGAGAACAAGAGAACCCCGATATTGGCCAAACGCAGGAAGACACACCTGGAAGAAAGGCAAAACTTAATTCCAAACCTGCCAAAAGAGAGCCACGCCAACACTTGGCTCACTTTGCACGGGATTCCAAAGAAGCCTTGAAACACAAAAGGGTCATGAAGAGCTTTAACAGAACAGCCAGATAGATAATAAACACATTTCTTTCCTTAGTAGCAAGTTAAATTGCTTTTCACTTTCCCAGCTTTAGGCTACGGTCTCTTGTTTCTTTTCTAAATACGGTTCCTCGATCAGTCATTTCAGCTGCAGATCTTGATGCTGCAATGGGTTGCAATTCTCTCAAGTACAATTTGGGAGGCCAGGTGACAACTCTGTGTGCATCATTTCCACCTCATGTAGCTTCAGGCCTTCCAAGGCACTTAGCCAAATCAGAAATACAAAGGACAGGCTTGCAGAGCTCAGATGCTTCAACCCAGACCTCACTCCCTTAAGCTGCCAAACACCAGTTCTTCATGCTCTCACACTAAAGTATCTTTTACACCAAAAGTTTTAACTTCTGCCTTGTGCTTCGGTCACTGCTGTACACACACATCTGCTCATTCAAGGAACTGCTGCACACAAAGCAGTGTGAATCCACAGATCTGCAGCCACAAATTCTTTACTGACTCTTCAGGTTGTTGAAGATGTCCAGACCACACAGCTAAATGGGACTGAGAGGAAAAACTTGGACACTGAGATGATTGCACTGCACTGTCATCAAAACAGATTGTTCCCAGATGTAAAGTTTCCAACTAAACATTAGCCAAACAATGCCTGCTTGGTTTCTATGACCAACTTCTCTGCTTCTTGATATTTCAATGTTTACAACACATATAACCTACCAAGAACAAGTTGTTCCAACATCCAAGGCCACAATAAAAACATCTTTACCTCATGAGTGTCAGTATGATCTCAAAGGCTGGTAAATAATCTTCAAATTTGATCAGAAATGAGAAGATCAGAGGACCAATGAAGTTGGCCAATGTGATCACTATTGAAGGCAAATACTGCACTAAGAGATTAGCCTGGAAGTTTGTATTGCTGATGTCCTGCACAAGAAGAGATGAGAAAAAGACAATACTTAAACACATCTTCCTGACACCATGCTCAATCCAGCTACCCACCAGCCTCTCTTGTCCAGGATTCAGGTAGCATCTTTTACTCTGTCTGCATTCTCCACCTACATTTGCACTGGGTAGTAAGAATCAGATATAACATGAATGGCAAACCCATCTGATTCTGAATACCTCTAGACAAGCAAGTTTCATGGAAAACTCTATTCTATATACTGCAATCCTGATCACTGCTATCTATCTCTGCAGTTTGCTGCTACACACCCCTGCCTTCTCCTGCTCCCTTGACCAGAAACTCCCTCCACCTCCAGGTTCTGTGCTTCCCCAAAGCTTCTGTTTGAAGTGTGTCTGACTATGTTGCTAATCAGCATCAAGGTTACCAGGTTTTACACCTACCCAAAGTGCAAACACTTTTCAAATTATTCTCACTGATGTCAAGCAGCCCCTCTGACTTTCCTACCATCCTGACATCCTATGTGCTTATTTAGGCAAGGTCAGGATACAGACCCTTATGAATAAAGCCCACACTAAGTGAAGCTGGTTTTTGAGTTGTTCAGTGTTGTGTTGTCCTCTCCTTTGCCCTCAAACAATATCTCTGACACAAATAGTACCCGTTTCCTGCTTCTGTCTCTACAGTCCTTGCAGTTTACAGAAGTTAAGAGTTAGGTCCACCACGAGCATAAAACTTTCCCCGTGCACGGCCAGGCCTATCACATCAGCAACAAACACAGGGGAGAGAAAACGTGCAGTCCCCATTCCTACCAGGCTGACTGAACCCTGGGGTCCTACAGAGAAGTCAATTATTGTTGCAAAACTGTCATTAACTGTTGTCTGCTCTTAATCTGCTTCTGAACCACTCTTTGTGTGCTTGTCCTGCCAGGGGTCAGCAACCCCACCCGACCTGATTCTTCTCCCTACTGATGCAAGAACCTTTGATTTTGAAAACTTCTCTGTGTTCAAAGCCTTCCTGTTTCCCCACATAGCGGTAACTGAAGTACAATACAGATCACAATCTCTGCTCTGCCTTCCCTGGCAGTGCAGTTTTGCAGCTGAGCAGTGAACCAGGTCACGTGAAGCTGATCACCATGAAGTTTGCTTTAAGCAGATCAGTTCCCTCAGCCAGTTCACTGCCCAGACCCAGCAGGTCACAGTGAGGTGAGCACAGTTACATGGGAGGGGAAGTGAGGGCTGCTCTTCTTGTCAGCTGCCTTAGCTCCCAGGCACTTGACACCAAAGCCTCTGCAGCAAAGGGAGACATTACTGGACTTTTTTTTTTTTATTTGCACATGGTTCTTAATCTTTCCTGCTCTCTTCTACTAAAAAGAATTGTCTGTACAAAGCATTTTCAGATCCCTTGCATAAAAGGTGCTATATTAAGATACTTGACTCTTTCACAATAGTTCCTCTTGCTGTAATCACCAGCCTCGACTGAATCTGTCCTAATGTCATTTCTGATACTCACATTCGACTTTTCTTGAGAGAAGACAGTTACTCTATAAATAGAATAAAAACATCCTGATAAAATGGCAATAACAATTATATTTATAAATATTCTCAGAGAGTAGATGCGTAGCTCTTCTTTTATTGTCCTGTCAGCTATTTTTTGCTTCAGTCTTTCTTCCTCCAAGTCCATCTACAAACAAAAGAAAAAAAAAAAGAGATGCAGTTTTCCGGTGCAGCATACAACACTTGAGACCACATCTTCTACCTCTGGGATGTGCAAATCCACAGCCTGCTCTAGGAGGGTCAGTCCATCACCCAAGCACAGAACTGAGAGTGCCTTTTCCTTGACACAAATGGGTCCACACAGGAATGAAAGTCCCTGTGTGCTCAACCTCCTCAGGCTGGGGGCCCTGCAGCCACAGACAAGTGTCTTGCAATCCTCCTATCTTTGCTAGATCAGTAACGTATTTCCTTGAGGACAGAAAGACAGTTTGTGTGTTCATTGTAACAGATAGATCTCAGATAGCTTGGTACTAAACTCTGAAACGAGTACATCAGCTCCCCCACCTCATTACTTCTGCAGGTAAGTAACCAGTCCTCACCACTATGGCTCAAGCTTCCTTCTACTCGTTGTAAAGGAAAATTGGGGGGTGGCACATAGAGAAGAAAGTACGGTCTTGAGCAGCTTGTCATGAAAACTTGACATAATTCGCCTTATCTGATGTGAAAAGACAGTATTGCCTGTGAAGGCAATTTAACCTGGGCAGACCCACACATTACCCAGGTATTTTCTGAGGATTTACTTTCATCAAACAGCAATATTAAGGGGTAAGTTCTTCTAAAGTGTGAGTTCTAGAGGCAAAAGTGTGGTAAGTAAAGGAGATTCTGGTTATATGATGAAAAAAGATGGCTGTGAACTTCACTAGAGCAGAAAGCAACTCACTGTAATTCATGAAATCTGTAATTACTGCTTTGTGGTTTGAAGTGGAAGTATCTTTCAAAGGTAATTGTTTCACTACATAAATCTCCACTTCCAGTGTACAGAGAGCAAAAAGAAGGTGCTTGTTTCACGAAAAAAAGCCTTTCAGACTCTTTTTTCAGAGCTTTTGGGAAATCTAAGCTGCATCAGCATTTTGTACGTGCACATGTGCCAAAGACACCTAAGTGAAAAATCTTTCAGTATCTTCTTACTGCAGCAACACTCTCAGATTGTATGAGGAGTACCATTTGAATTTTATTCCTCCCCAGATAACTGCCTACTGCATTGCACACTTAAAACCCAGAGCACTCAAACTGATTCCTGACAGAACAAGGGTTTTGCCCACAGCTGGGACAGCCTTTCCTGTTGGATTATGTAGAAACTAACACAGGAAGCAGGACTGGAGTGTGAGGAAGAGGCAGATAAGATAAGCAGCCAACAGGTTGGCCTCAGTCCCCAGTGAATGGGGGAAGGGCCGACAACCCCGATTCCAACTACCTAGAAAGCAAGAGGATGTGGGCTGCCTTGCCCCCAAAACAAACTACTTCAGTCCTTATTAACCTTATTTTCCATTATCTGCAAAATTACACACCTCTCTATTTTAGCCACTTAAGCCATAAGAAACCATCATCACAGAAAGATGGAAGTTACTCACCTGGAGCTCATATTGCAAGCTACGGTGTTTTAGCTGAGCTGCACTGGGATCTGTAATGCAGAAGTCCCAGCCTGCAAAGACTTTGTTACAGTAACTCTGAAATGGGTCTGCATCATGCACTAAGTTCTGCTTAAATCCTTCCACAGACCTAGAGAAAAATGCAACTTTATATCATTCATGAGAAGACATATTTTACCCACAGCAAAAAACCACACCAAAGGAACCTGGCTGATCAAAGACTGAACGACCCCCTCTATGAGCAAACTGCTGCACTTGCTTTGCATCAGCAAGGCGCTGGGAGGCTTTCAGAGAGAGCTTCTAGGCAGCTGAACCTCACTGGCAGAGGTTACTCCTCCCTGCACTCAGCCACAGTCACACCTTCTCACCTCACCCAGTGCTTCTCTGACACTGCAAAGAGCTTGTCTGCAAAGAAAACTTGAGAGGGTGAAAATAAAAGCCACAACCAAAAACCCCAAAAGAAAATCCCCCAACAACTACTGTATAGTTGAGGGCCTTTATTTATAGGTATGTGTACATATGAAAAACTGATACTTCAAAATTTTTTTCTTTTTTTTTTTTATTTGCTGGCTCTTGCTTCCCAAGCACAGACAAAGGCTACTGTGGCACTGCACCCTCAAGCAGAAGATTCTCTATTCCCATATAAAACAGTTCAGGAATGCAGCACGTTCCCTTCAAGTAGGAATACAATGTAAACTGTGCAATAGGTAGCAGTAAATAAACCACACCAACATCTTTACCTTTTTATTATCCAGAGGAAACTTAATGCAAGGTAGGCAAATGTAGCCAGGAGGTATGCCAGGGGCAAGTTGTACCTCATGACACTGATCCATACAGCATCTACTGTGTAATAGCCGTAGAACAATCTTGTCACTTCAAGGAATCCCTGGGAAAACATGAATTCAAAACAGAATTTGTAACAGCAGCAGCAACTGCCCTGTTAAATCCACCCTGGCATTAAGCAATCATTTTGTAAATTTAAAATTGAGGCCCCCAGCAAGCTAGAGCAGTCTGCAGCCTCTAAATACTGCCACTGCCTCCACCAAACTGTGATGCACACACTGTGTGATTAGAATCCCTCCCCTCTCCAGTCAAAGAGCTCTAGGACACAACACTGGGACATTACACAGAGAGCACAATAGGCAGTGTGCTCCAGAATACACAAGGGTTTAGCAGCTGGGGAGGAGAGGCCAGGCCTTGTGGTTGCTGAGTAATTAGTCAGTTTGAAAACTCCCCTTCTCACAGATAAGGGCTAATTTACCCCAGTAATGCCTTACCATTTTTCAAAATTATCAAACCTTCGTTCCACTAGTGAAATGTTTTCACATTTTAAATGTCATGCAAGACACGGAAACTTAATTAAAAAAACCCAACCTAATTACTTACAGTGCCACTGAGCAAATCTTGGAGGTAAGTATAGAAGTAAACAAGTCCCTTATTACCACTAGGTTCATAAATTGAGCAGTTATAATCTGTCAAAAGAAAAGCATGAAAAGTCACTGAAATCGCAATGCCCACTGAACTGCAAGATCAAGTTAATTCAAACATGGCACATTCTTATAAAAAAGCATTTCTTTGTTCTGGGAGGTAGAGGAGAAGCTGATGGAAAGTGGGAAGCTTACAACAGCTGTACACAGAGAAGATGTTTACCTGTGTTCTTTAGAGAAATGTTAGCAACGGTACTGTTGAATATTCCATAGTCAGAAATGATGGTGGGAAGAGTAATAAAACTGAACATCAGGATAAAAATTATAAAATTCAGCAGGACCAGAAAACGCAGGAAGGAGAAGTAGGACTGGATGCCAGTACCAAATCTCCCTGGGAATAAAAAAAAAACAGGTGTTAATAATTGAGATGATAAAATAATTGAAAATACAGAATGAGCAGATTATCATTTCAATTACAGAATTAACTGAAGAAACATGGCTAAAGCTAGGTCTGTGCACTTCAGACTTTTAGCAATATAACTGAAAAGCAAGCTGGACTTTTAAATAATTTTCTCTGATATTTATTTCCTTCTAGCACAGCGTGGATTTTACACTCAGCAATAATAAGGGAAGAAATTAACTTCTTAAACACATGTAGTTATATCTGAAACTACACTCACACATGTAAAACTGCCAATAACAGAAGCAATTTTGAAGAGGAGAAATCAACATCAGACAACAAATACCTTCAATGCTGTGAATATCACGTCGCCAAAGCACCAGGTAAGACGACAACCCCTTGGCTTCACTGAGTACTTTTTTCAATGATTTACTGTTAGCTTTTTTCCACTTATTCCATTTAGATAAATATTTTATATCAGCCTGCTGAGAGTCCCTAAGAATCAAGAAATACAGTTACTGAGCACAAGAAATAACTTTTCACTGCGTGTAAGAGGGCCCAGCCCGATGGAGCCTGCCTGCAGCCTTCAGGGGAGAGCACAGTGCTGGGAGCTGAGTAACACACACAGACTGTCCCCATCTGATCCTCCTGATAATGGCGACATCAGCTTCACTCAAATACAGCAAGTTCTCTCACAAAAAACACTTGTCTCCCTTGGAGAAAAAAAATACCCAATTGCCAATAGCACAACACAGAAAAAAATATGTATCTGAACTTCCCACTGGGGTCTCAGGGAAGTTGCCATTAATGACTTCATATTTACAAATGGCTGGAAAAGGAAGAGAAGATTCTTTCCTCAAAACTTCTGACCTCAGCATCTCCACCAAGAGGCTCTTAAAAAATTTCTCTAAAATATTTATCTAAAGTATGTTGCCCGAAAAAAAAAAGAAAAAAAGGAGAGAGAAAGCACACTATAAAGACTTAAATATTTCATTTTGATTTTCTAATTCTAACTTTTATATCACATTCCAGCACATAACAGAAAACAAATGTTATTAAAATCATTAATTTTTCATTATTCAGTTTTAATAGCATTTTGAAAAGTTTGCTGGGAAGTGCCAACTCAATGAATTTAAGAAAGTAGTTTTTGCCACATCTGGGGGTGCACTGTTCTAACAATGAGCTGCAAACAAACACTGAGGACATGCCACTGTCTGTAATTTTTAATTACTTCTCACTTATGGATTTTCATACTATATGCATACATTTGCATTTTAGAAATTGCTGCATGGTCAGCAACAGCATCAAAGAGAATTCTGAGTGGGTCAGAGTTTGCATTTTATTGTTTCTTTTAAGAAACCTGGAAAATAGACAAAATTTCCCAGAAAATTTGAAGATGGACTTGTATGAGCAAATGCTGTTCCAGCCTCTGGTGCCACCGAAGAAGGGCAGCAGTTGAGCGTCCACGGACACCGTGCTGGGGTAGAAGACAAAGGTTTCAGTTTTAAAAGACTTTGTACACAACCCTAAGTGATGCAACTGCCACACCACTGCCGCGTGCGCTGTTGCCAGTTTGCTTATCCTACTCAGTTGAAAGTAAAATAAGCATTTTGGCAGGAAGCCAAATTAAACCTACACACAACAATCAAACAGGCAGCAGACGACCTCAGCTTTAAGTGCAAATACAGCTCTTTTGAAAAGATTTAATTCAGTGGAAACTACAGGCTGCAGCACGTAGTGTTTCAAACAGACACTCTGGAGAACCGTCTGGCCCTTGTTCGGTTTGCATTTTAAATAGAGGCGTGGGCTGCATATTCATCTGAGTTACAGAAGTTGAGTGTTCAGCTTTCAGGACGTTCATACCAAGCACTCTACGTTGGCAGCTGCTGCACAACATGCAGAGCACTGATCTGTAGAAGTGCCAAGAAGCCCCACCAGAATCTCTCAGTGCTAACATGTGTAAACAAGCTTGGGACATTGCAACTCCACTTCTCCCTCCAGTTCCTTTTTCTTAAAGAACTGAGCTTTAAATACGCAACTTCAAAAAAAAAATTCAAGGTATCGAGCACTTCCCTTTTTCATGATCTGGATCTTCTGTTACTTCTTATGTACACACTATAGGGTTAAACATAACTCCGGGGTCAGCCTGTTTCCCACTGCTCTCTCAATAGAGTAACTCTTGCTCTCTGTGGAGTACCAGACATTAACTGCAGTTTCACCTCTCTCCTGGTTCATAACAGAACTACAAGGTACCTGATTTAAAGGTGCAGCTGTTCCCCGGCAGTGTAAAACCACATCCTGTACCCTCCCTCCCCACAGCAGCTTTCAGCCCAACAGCGAGACATGAGACAACAAGCAGAGAAACCCAGGCGGGGCCAAAGCATGCTCTTCGCAATCCCTCCCTCCGGGGGGCTACCACCAGGGGGGCAGGAACTGCTCACAGCGCACAGCAAAGAGCCGTTTAAAAAAGAATATGGAAAGAAAAAAGGGAGGGGAAAAAAAGAAAGGGTCCCGAGAAGCTTCCTTTCAACTGTACTGAGCCACAGCAAATGGAGCGCAGTGCACTGTGTAAGAACTGCTAAGCAGACTGAAGAGCAGCAACACTCGCATAGCAGCAGATAACCCACACTGACCCTTGAAAGCACAAAACCCTGAACAAAAAAACAAAACAAAAAAAAAAAGAAAGAAAGAAAAGGGAAAAAAGGAAGCCAGTAAGAAACACGTTTGGCTGTTGCAGGTAAGACTCAAATTTTGACTCATTTCTTCCAATTCAACCTACTCCCAACCCCCAGCAAGCGACTCCCTCGTGCCAGCCAAGAGCACCAGGGCACCTTCGCGTCGGAACCACATGCCACAGGGTGGAACAGATAGAGCTGAACCCAGTTCTGCTTCAGTCTTCCAGCGCACCGGGGTCGCGTGCAGGAAAGGTCACTTTGAAAACCAACAAGCAAACAAAAAACCAACAACAAGGGGAAAAACGCGCGAGGATGCACCTTAATCTCCTCTTCTCCGCGATGCTCAGCGGGTGCTCCCTGGCAGGGCGCTCAGCCAGCTCGCCTCCATCCTGCCCCAGCGCCCGGGGCTGGGTGCCGGCGGGGCCGTGCGGGGCCGCCCCGCGCTCCCGGGTCCCGCCGCGCCGCCGCCGCGCCGCCTGGCAGCTGGGCAGCTCCTGCAGGAAATCCACAGGTGCGGCACCGCGCGGGTCCTCGGGGAGGAACAGCCCTGCGGGGGGAGAGAGCGGGGGCTGCGGGGCGGGGGTCGCCGCAACAGGGCACCCGGGACCCCGCAGCGCTGAGCTGGGTCCCGCGGGTCCCGTCCCGCCCGCCCGCCCGCCCGTCCGTCCGCCCGTCCGTCCGTCCGTCCGTCCGTCCGTCCGTCCGTCCGTCCGTCCGTCCATCCATCCATCCATCCCCCGGCCCGCCCGCCCCGCGCCCTCACCGCTGCCCCGCCGCCATCCCGGCGGCCCCGCGGCGGCCCCCGCTCCGCTCATGTCGGCGGGGGAAGCCGGAGCTCAGCCCCGCGCCGCTGCCGCCGTTTCCGGGCGCTGCGGGGCCGTGGGGCGGTGGGTGCCGCCCAGAGCGGGGGCGAGGCCGCCCGCGGGGCCGCCTTCCCCGCACCCCGCCCGCCGGGCTCGCGGCTCGGAGCGTCGGTCTCTCTGTTCTTCGTGCTTGTTTTTGAAACGCAGGGTGTGCATATACGTGTGTGTACAGGGCATGCCAGCAGCTCACCCTCGTTACAGTGAGGCAAGGCTCACGCAGCCCAGGTGCGGAGCTCTGCGGGTTCTGGCTGCTGGGCATCTCTCGCCCACGCTTGGCTTGGAAATTGGCTTTGTTTCAATGTCTTCTGTTACTGTTAAACGGCCACGCTGGTGCTGGGTGCTGTAAAAACTTACAAACTCCGACACTTGGTCAACTCATTAGGTCACGAGCCCGAGGTGTCAGCTCTTTGTGAGTGACTGGATCCAGTGCCACAGGCTGCAGTGGAAACAACACAGCTTCACCCTTGAATGTGTAAACTCAGTATGAACCGGAGCAAGCAAAGCAGATGCTGGATCTCTTTTTCCATCTGAGGGTGAGGGGTTTGTGTTAGCTTGTAGTAAACATCTCAGAGGGATTTATATCTTGGAATAATTCTTGCCTTTTGTGTGAAAATAACAGCATGTGTGACCAAAAACAAATGAAACCTTTAGTGGTTTCAGCAGCATTAGGTGGTGGGCAAAAACCCCCCCATAATTTCTAGCATTTCTTACTGTGTTCTACTGATAGTTAAACTGATAAACAGATTATTCTGAACATTCCTCATCCACTTTCTGCCATAGTTTTTAAAATAAGTTATTATTAGGTTTCAGAATGCTGAATCAGACATAAACAAACATGTGTCTTCTCTTGCATATGTGTCATCAGCTCAGGTACATCATTTTCAAATTGCTTTATTAGCAATAAGAATCTATGTGGATCATCTGTTTCCATAATAAAACAATAAAATGTTACTGATAAAAATGTAATTTAGATATACACATTTATAATCTGTGTTACTGGCAGAGGTGAAAGATATATCTTAAGGGGAATTGTTGTGAAATACAGAGACATGGAATTAAAGCATAGCAACTTCCTTATTGAACTGAATTACTTAAGAAAACAAGAAACCTACCCTGTAGGTGTTCTTGCCTTCATACCATATCTTGGACTTGATGATCTCAAAGGTTTCTTCCAGCCTTGATGACTTTGTGATTTTATATCTAATATTTTTTTTTCCTATTTTTGATGAGAACAAGTTATAACTTACCCTCATCCATCAATAAGTCACTCTGAAGGCCTGTTGCTTTTTTCCCTTCTCCTTTCCACAGATCTCCAGGGTGGTTTTTCCCAGATGGGGTTTTTTGTATAGCAAAGGCTGATGCTGTGAGAGAGTGTTTGTAACACACAGATCCTTCTGCAGGATGGGTGTGTTGGTAACAGAACCGGACACCTCAGTGAAGCTCATTTGCACAGGTGATTTTTGGGTCCTTGTTTGAGCACCACATTTCCTGGAATTCATTTGAACGACTCTCAGCTGATCATTCTGAAAAACTCAGGGGATGAAAATTGAAACCCCTCAGTAGCAACCCCAAAAAATCATTTGGTGTTGATCAGCATTCATGAATATGAATGTGCATTATACTACAGAGCCTAAGTACCCACTTCTACTGGTCCCTTGAAGCCACTCAAGCATCTTTCTGTGGTTGTGAACTCAGAGCAGGGCCAGCTCTACCCTAAATAGGAATATTTATGGGGTAAGGCTTCCCTAGAGGTGTCATCTGGAGTGGCAATTTGGCTTCTTATTTATGTTTCTTTTCTTACCAGTAAGAATACAAAGAATAAAGGTCAGTAATACACTTGCTGCTTAATTAGACTCTTTCTGAAACTCCGTGTTCTAGAAAAGTATTGGGTTAATGACCCCATGAGAACAAATTTAAATAAAGATTGGAGGAATTGAAACAAGATTGACTTCCCCAGGAATTTTGTGAGAACATTCTCTAATCTATTTCTTTTTTTTTCCAGTTGAGAAAGCTTTTAAGACACTTGGAAATGTTTCAATGAATTTAATGGATCACAGCAATCCCAGGTGGAAAAGCAGGAATACAGGCGTGCTAAAGAGAAGAGAATGGATGATTCTGTGGTAAGTTCCTCTTGTGTATTATTTGTCCAGTGTACCTTGTTCACAAAAGCAGCAGCTCTCAGTCTGTGCTGAGCATGGAAGCCAGTGCCATGGACTGTTTCCCAGGATGCTGGGAAACCGTCTGTCACATTTAGTAACACCATTTCCAGGACACTTGTTCTTTCATATGGTTCCTCTTCCTAATGCCACAGCTCAAAAATGGCTCTAAATGTTAAGGAAAGTTCTGAGTGACTGTTTTAATTTTGGAGTGTTCTCACATTTGACTGCCCTGGTGCTTTTGGTTGTGGCCTGTGCAGCAGGGAGGGAGCTCTGGATCAGTGCAGGAAATCTGCAGACAGGTCCTCTGCAGTCATGCCAGGAATGTTGCTTTGGGCAAAATGTAATCTTCAAGTGGTATTAGAACACTTCACTGAAGTCTACAGAATGTGTCAGATACAGAATAAACACATTTTTTACACAGTTTAGGAACTGGGAAGACACTAGCCATTTGGTAAAAGTGATCATCAGCTGTTACACCAACACAGCTTCTGAACACAGAGCAAATTGATTTATTGCCAATTCCCCACTGGCTTTAATCCAAGAGGTTGACATGGGTATTTTTCATTTGGTTTTTTTTCTAATCTTGCTGGCCAAAGAAGTTACTTAGGAATAGTTGCTAGAAGTTTTAAGATATGTGGTTTCCTGGCAGGATAAAATATGCCAAAATGTCATAACAGGCTCTACCAACACAAAAGCAGCTGGGAGTCTATAATTTTGTAAAGTGTTTACAAAAAGAGAAAGGTAACAGGCAGACCACAAGTCTGGGACAGCAGAGTCAGTCTTGTCCTTACCCTCTTTCCCTCTCCATCTGTGCCCATCCCAGTGGTGGCTGTTTGGCCCCTCGTCCAGTTTGAGGATACTCCTCTTTCCAGAGGACAGCATTAGCCTTGGAGAGGGGCCCTGGACACAGCCTGGCCGTGACTATTGTGTGGTGGATGTGCCGGGGTATCCCCATTCCAGCTGCAGTGGAGTGAGGGAAGGTGATGCAGACATCCCTGTGAGCAGCTTTAGGACAGAAATTCCCGCAAGAGACACCACCCCAGCACTTTTTTGACTTCTCTGTGTTGCACCCTGCCTGGTGATCGACTGTAGCTTTGTCCAGTCCATGGTTTTTCCCCATCTCTGTGTGAAATGGGAAGGAGGGAAAGGAGAAAGACAGGAAAAATCAGTATGTCTGTGTCACACTAAAGGAGAAGTTCCTTCTGACCCATCCAGAGTACAGAAAGGGCTGGTATTAAATTCCCCATCCAGGAACTGCTGATTACTCTCTGTACTAGTGTGATCTAGTTTTTTCACCCTTGGAGGAGGCTTCCTGGAAGTAAAAATATGTGAGGTCAAGATCGTTCTTTATCTCTGCTCTACAAATGATTAATCCAGGGATAAAGGTAACACACCCTGTGTCTGAAGACCGTTTCTCTCTGTCCTTTTATTGTGGTGTTATAGCGATCCTCAGCCCCCAAAAAGCGTGTTTAAATTTATGGGGGAAGGAGACTGAATGCCTTGGAGCTCATACAGAAATATAGCAAGGCGTCCCACGGCTGGTAACAGCGAAGAACTCGGCGTGGTTGTTTTTCTCGTCTCTCTGCGAGCTGTGCGAGCCGGACCTCGGCTCCCCCTTCCCGCTGGTGCAGTTCCGTGCACGGCCCGTTCAGGGGGAAGGGAAGCGAAGCGAAGCAAACCCGGAGGCCACCGGCGGCTCCCCCGGCATCGGTGCCGGGGCGGGACCGGGGCACCGGGAGGAGCCGCCGGCGGGGCGGGAGCGATCCCGGGGCACCTGGCGCGGGCAGCCTCTCCCGGCTGGCAGGTAAGAGCTGGGACGGGCGGCTCCGGGGCTCTGCCGTCCTGGAGCGGCTGGGAAGGGTCGGGGGGGGCGGCAGATGGAGCGCTGGGGCCGGGCTGGGTCTGCTCCACAGCGGGGCTGCAGGGTGGTTTCTCCGTTCACTGAGATGGAGGAGCCACTCGAACTCCCGACAGGTGGCTGCCGCTTAGCAGGTGGCCGCTGCTAGTTTAGAGTGATGGAACCGTAAGGGCTGGATGGCGGGAGTGTCAGGGATATACTCGGCTCCTGCTCTCTGAAAGGTGAGCAGCAGCACGGCGCGGTGCCCAGACCTGGTGTCAGCCCTCTCACCTTTATCGCCCCGTTAGTCACATACCGGCTTCCTCTGCCCTCGGCTGCAAGGGCTGGTCCCATGGGGGATTAGCAGCCACATGCTTCCCTAATGGATTTGGCTACATTGCATTTTAATGAAGCTGCATTTTGTCGGAAAAAAGAAAAAAAAAGGATTCAGATTGTGTGAAACTATTTGTCCAACGATTTGAAAACTGCATGTAAGGATTTTGAAGAATTAGGAGAAACCTGTGACAAAACTGGTTCTCTTTTCTGGTTCTCCCGAGCCATTTTCTAGTCTCTTAGTTTATTTGTCAAAGTATTGTGAGTACCTTTTGTTTTCCCTCAAAGTTCTTTTAAATGCTGCCTGTGCAAATAGTAATGAGATGACAATATCCTTAACAGGAAGTTAAGCCAGAAATGACAGACAGAACAATGCCCTTTTTTAGTCCAACATCGCTGTGTATATTTTAACCCTGTTTATTATATGAAATGATCATATGTATAGTCTTCATTTGCTTTTCCAATTGAACTTGTGAATGAGACTCCTGTAACTGATACTGCTCATTAAAATGTAATTTGAAGATTGCATTTAAACTGGATGGGTATCCATTGCAAGTGCAATAAAAAGAGCTTTCTTTTAAGGCAAAACTTCAGAACTGTTCTGGTAAGCAGTCTCTCATGCCTCTGATAGACCTGCTGTATGGACTGCCTTTGCACTGAAAGCAGAAAATTATTCCAACCAGGTACTCAAAAACTGCTTCCTTTTTTTTTTTTTTTTTTTTTTTTTTTTTTTTTTTTTTAGCAGTTATTTCCTTCAAATACAAGTGGCTGGTAATGTTGGTTAATAGACTTAAAAAACTTGTTTTACAAAGCAAGATTTAGTCTTGCTAAATGCAAAGAACGTGACACTCTGCAGTTTGGAAATTTAGTCACAAGACTGAGTTGCACTGATATGAAATGATTCTTGCTTTAGTCTTTTTTTCCCTGTAATGGTCAGACTATGAGCTAGGTAATGTCTTTCAAGTGGTAAAGAGATAATGCAGAGTTTTATTTCTTATTCTTGCTAATCTTGCCTCTCTCTGCCAGGTATACTGTTCTTGCTCTTCAGTTCACTATTTCCAATTTTAGTAGTTATATAGTTTATAATTTTCTCAGTGAATTAAGTTTGCAACTTGTGGTCAGACTTAAGGGAACAAAAGCAACCATGCAGCAAACAAAGAGAAAGTTGCTCTCAAAGGGGTCTCTGGGGAAAGGATTAGTTCATGCTAAGCCACTGTCATATGTACTTCTGTCCATAAGAATTGTGATCCTCTGGGGCCTTTTGGGTGGAGAAGCAAGGATGTGTGTGGTAGATTAGGGAGAGTACTATGAATTTCACAGAATTAATGAAGTATCTGAACTTTCAGCCACTGCCTTTGAGCAAAAACCCTGAAGTGTGCACCACACCTTTCCGACACTTTATTGGACACTATAATTTTTAACTGCATATTGTAACATTTTTTGTATGTTTCAGGGGCATGTTTATAAGAAAGGTGTCTAAACTCAGGTGAAGAAGTAGAATCCTGCTTGGGCCACTGTAAACATGAAGGATCTGGCAGTCCTTCTCCAAAGGCCTTATTTGAGCAACCACAGGTGACAGGATTTACTTACAAACAAAGTGAACAGGATGAAAATACTGTAGTCTTACTATATTGGGGGGAAATTACAAGAGGAATGTTAGATGGAAAGAATAAGGCAAACAAGTGAGTAGGTGCAAAAACAGTGGATAAAGAGCAAATAAAAAGCAGAGCTCATGGTGCTGAAGCAGTAGCTGGAGGCACTGGGAGCAGCCAGGTGAGGGCAGAGACAGTCCCACAGTAGAATGTTCCCTGTGTCAGACAGACACTATCCTGCCTGCCTGGCTGCTCTCTGTGCCACACTCTAACCAAGAAGGGCTGGGGCTACAGGGGGGGTGGTATCTGAATTCTGGTAGGTAGCACTGCACTACAGTACATTAATTTGAGCTCAAGATCCAACAAGCTGTTGGGAGAGACATTCCCCTACAAGGGGAATGCTGTCACTCCCTTCCTGATTTGATTACATGTTCTTTCCCTATGCACTGGTAAGCAAATGGGTTTTTAGTGCTACTAAGACTGCATGTCATTACTGGGAAGGGCTCTTGTAGCAGAGGCACAGTTTACATTTCTGAAATGGATTAAAGGTCTAAAAGAGCAGAGTTGATGTTGATTCCTGTAACTGGCTGTGCTGCCATTAATAAAAACACAGTGGGAGGCCTGTACAAGGTACAGGTTGGGTACTTTTGCAATAGGCAGTAAAGGTGAGTGTTTGTCATTTCCGTGTGTGATTCACGCTGGTTTCATTGCTAATATATCAATTAAAGATGAGGTTTTCTCTATAGTGTTTGATTTGGGTCAATTCACAGGCCCTTCACAACCTTCTGAGAGGCTTCTGTGGTTTGTTGCAGCAGTGTTGAAACTGTTGGGACTGAGACAGTGGAAGAGCAGTGGTTGGTACTGGAATGTAGTTGCTGATGTAGCGTGTAAAACTCTGGCTTGTCTCTCAAACTCACTTTTGGCTTCCAGAAATCAGTATGTCCAGTCATACCCTATAAAACTAAAATATTTTTACAGAAATAGAGCACATTCAGCCCTCTGAATCAGTTCTTCCATGAGTTCTATTCACTTTATTCAACATTATTAAGTTTTCTATGTTGTAGTTCTGGAATTTACTGTTTCTATTCCTCTTCAAGATGTGTGTAAGCAGGACTTGCTTTATGTAATCCTTTTTACTGAGGGATTATAGGTAAAGAACTTGAAGGTCCAAGTGGCTTTCCTGAAACTTGATGCCAGGACAAAGTGCTATTTTGGCAAGACATTCATGTTTATTTGATTACATTCTAAATGAGGATTAGTGTCCATAGCAGAGAATTACCTGTCCAGGAAGGGATGAAACTAACCTGGAATATTTTAACAAGGCTGTTGGTCTGTGACGTGAAGGCAATTATTTTTCTGGGAAATCATCCAGAAGCTTGAGTGTGCACTGCTTGGAGTTTCCTGTTCTATATCATTACAGTGTGTGTTGAAGGATTTAAGGGGAAAGCACCCACTCTCCACCTAACCTCTAAACTTATTTACATATCAATGATTGTTAAACTCACCGACTTTAAACCCTTCTGTACTCCAGAGGAGTAACATAAGATTTGTCTTGTTGCTTGCTGAAATCAAAAAATGTAATCCACAAGTGGACAACACTCTGCAAAGGGAAGATTTGTCAAGATCCTGCTTTCTGTCTTTCCCAAATGACTGCTGTTCTCCAGCTATTTTTTTTTCCATTTAGAAAATAACTTTTTAAAGGGAAAACTCAATCTATATGTCATAGCTTTTCCTGGAGCTATGGTCTACTGCATCCCATCATAGGTCAGAAGGAAGAAAGAGATGGTTTAGTTTGAGCGTTATCTGCTTTGGGCTCTTTCCAGTGAACTGTGACAGATTAAACCCCAAACTAAACCTGCAGTGTAGGCATTAGATTGGATAAAAATGATCTTCGGACTTGGGCTGGAGGAAGTGAGTGGCCTGACGTGCCACTTGTACACCCTTGGCATCCTACCTGGGCACCCTTGTCGTGCCAGCTGTGCACCCTGAGCATGTCTGTTCATACACACACCTCCCTCCCAGCCTACAGCACTTATGTACCAGGTATCACAGCAATCTGTGAGTGACTACAGTCAAGAACCATTCCTGTATTCCATGTTCATGTTCTTGCTCACTCCAAATACCTCAAAGTTTGAGATCTAATGCTTGCAGGTAGCAAGGGAAAAAACTGTTTTTTTCAGGAACGAAATTCAAAGATTTCAATTTGCCTCTGGGTATGTGGAGAATTTATTTAAAGTCCTTAAAACTTTGTGGGTGGAGAAAAACCAAAGTGGTTTCAGGTGCTGGGTTCAGTGTCAGACTGTACATCTGGCATGTGATGCATTTAAGGCTCCAACGAAATAAAGTGGATAATGATGAAACCAATAGGAAGTCTGTCCTGGGCTTTTTTGAGTCTCTTAGCAAGCCTTTCTGGATAAGCCTAGAGGTCTTTCAAGTAAGAGAAAGAAGTGCTGGATGTATTTTTCAGTCAGGCTGATCTGTTTCTGGTTGGTTGATGCTATATCAAGTTGATGGGGATGGTCAGTGCTTTCTGCCAGCTTGCTTCTGGGTAATGCTGAGTCTACACATCCTGTACACTTCCATCAAAGTATCTGCTCTCCCTACTGCTTGAATGAAGACCAGGCAAGCTGATGAGCTGTTCAGATCAGTGCTCAGCTTTCCAAGTGCCTTGCTGGCAGGCTTCCCAGCTTTCTGGATGTCTGAGTCCAAGAGAGTTGGGTTCCTGGGAAACAAGTTAAAAAAACAGAAAAATGTGATTTTGCACACTCTTCAAAGGGAATTGTCTCAGAGCTTTCTTCCCCTGAGAATGTAATTTTTTCCTCTTTAGCTTTTCATTGCAGTTTGAAATGTAAATCACTCTTATAGGGGATGTTTAGTTTTCCAAGCAAGGCTTTGCAGAAGTCCACGATTATCTTTTTTGTGAATCATTTCCATGCATTAAAATGGAGCATAAGGACACAATGTAAAAATACCTGAAGTGTTTGTGTAAAAGTTCAGATATATTCCAAGCAAGTTCTCAAAAGATCACCAAGAGCTGAGTGGTTCCTGTCAAAGGAAAGCTGCCTCTCAGGAGATTTAAACTTCTCATGACTTTTATATCAGAGCCTTGGATTCTTTGGGTGTTCATTGGTTTTCTTTGGAGATGAGGAGAGGGGGCTCTGCTAATTACTTTTCTGCATTTGTGAGAATCTCACTCTGTCTCTGTAGGTGTGCAGTTGTTACCTGAAAAAACAGAAGTTTCACCTAGGGGAGACAGTTTTTACGGTTTCTTGTTGGCAGTAACCACACTCCATTGTTTACAGAAGGCAGGGGTGATGCACCATAGATTCACAGTGCCCCGTGTGCTTTTTTACTGAGTGTGCTGAATCCATGGGCGTCACAGCATGATTCATCAGGCTGTAATCAAAGTGTAGTCAGTGTTCTGATTAAAATGCAGGACTTTGAATTCAATCCTTGCCAGTCAGTGTGCAGAACCTGGGCAGTGTTTTACCATTATGTCACACTGCAGGATTTTAGACTGTGTTCCAAGATCTTTAGGTGTGCAAGTGACATAACAGTAATTTAAGAGCTTCTTGTGGCAGAACAAGAAGATTTTGACAAGGCTTCAGGAACTAGACACTGTATAATTATCCAGTTTGAAGATACTTTTCATATGATATTTCCTTTACTGTAATAAAAGTCACAAATAAAATCCACTGCAAATAGAAAAGTTGGTAGAGACTGTACTGTGAAATGAGATTCTGCTGTGTTTTTCTAGGAATGGAGCCAAAATAAAAATAGGTTCTGATGGGTTTTGCCAGATGTGCCCTTTTTCGTTTATTTTTTCCTTCGCTGCTGTGGAATAGCTCTGCCACCTGATGAAACTTGGCATGGTGCCTTTAAGAACTAATGCTAAAATTTGCTTCCTTTTTTATTCTGAGTATCATTTTTGATTAGTTGCAAGAACTGCCTGTTTAATTTGGATTCTGTTTTTCTAATGTAACATTCCCTTCTCACTGACTTATCTGGGCTTCCATTTGTTAAACTCTGACCAAGTCTGGTTTGTGTAAGACTAAAATGGAGCACTCTGTAAGAAATCCAAAACCAACCTATTTTTTCCTCCTATTGTTTTGACATGCTTCTAAAACCTGGCTGAATTTTCAATGTTGGGGAAAACATCAGTGGCACTCCAGTTCTTCAGTTTTGTAGAGAGCTTATTATAGAGAAATATTCCCATTTTACTTGCAACTTCTAGTGGACCACAATTTCCTGATGGTAAATATCATGAAGTTATAACCACTTCTGATTTATTTTCTTTCATGTTATTTGTTAGTGGGATGGCAGAATCTTCTGAGTTGCTAAAATGGAGTTCCTTCCTTTTCATTTTTTATGTACGTGCATCTGTTTTGTAATCAGGTCTGTAATCAGTCTTCTCATTAACATATTAACGAAGCAGTAGAGACAAAAAAGGGGAAGATTTCATCCTCCAAACAAAGGACTTGTCATGTCTTATCATTACAATGAAGGCTTTGAAAATCCAGACTACTACTTCTCAGAGACATTGGAAATTGATAGAAGGTGAGTTTATTTAATTTTGCTGTGTGACTGTGCCATAAGAAATTAAATTACTCATATGCAGGAGAAACTTTTCCCCCAGAGTTTTAATTTGTGGATTTATTTTAATCCTTCCTTTATGCTTTCATTCTCAGGCACAATTTTTTAAAGCTGTTACCAGGAAGGCAGCATTCAAGGGAAATGGTGTTTTACTTTTTACATGTTGGATGAATTTCAGTAAAATGTATTTATAGCATAGTATCATAGATACTTTTTAGTTCCAGTAATTTTCACAATATACTATAATCTGGGATATTCTTGTTTTCCAAGCAGTTATTCCTATTTAGGCAGAGTCTAAGCTAACTTCACGTGGAGAAAAGTATTAGCTGTTCTAATTCAGTTGATCACCAAATCAGAATTACAAAATACGTCTCAGTATCAGAGTTTGGTTTATAAAGAACTCAAATTTGATAATAATAGGTAGCAAATTATTAAGGATATCTATTGAGAGTTTTTGTGACAGTCAGGGTTTTCTTTTTTACTGCTTACACAGGAGAAGTTCTCAAAACAATCCCTTCTCTCACCAAACCCCTGATGATCCTTCACTTCATGGTTCCTATGGAGAGCGCAGTGGAAGAGAGCAGAACTACCCTGTGGCCATACCAATGGACTCCATGAGACCTGGCTCTGGATACAGAGAGGATTTACCAAGCAGGAATCCAAATGGAAATTTCACAGGTATGTAATTTCTCATGTGACCAGCTTACAAAAACACTGGAACAAATAACAGCTTACTCTGTCCCGAGGGAGTCCTGCAGCTCTGCAAAGCTCAACTCTTTATGTATTTTTTGCCCTTTTTTTAAATCTTCTTAAAGCAGTTCAGGTGTTACATTAATGGATCCATGGACTGTGTGTTGTATTAATGGATCAGTAAATACTATCTTGTGTTGTTGAGTACTAGAATGGACATTGGAGTGAGATTTGGGAGTTTTGTTAAGGGAATAGGTTGTGTTTGCAGTAGAGCTGTGCTTGATCACAGGGCCGGTGTTCTGTGTCCATAAATAATCCACAGCAGTAAACAAGTTTCTGTGTAATTCTGATTCCCTTCAACAGACAATCTTTCCTTTGAGCCTGAGCCAGAACTGGCATACACCCCAGCTTCTACCTTCCATCAGCTGGATTATCCCTATACCCACAGAACTTCCAATGGATCAGAAGGTAAGGATTGTGGTGCATCACAATATTGCACGTCAGTCTCACCCTCCATAAAATGATGCAAATATTTAAAAGCCTTCTGGTTCAGGTATGAATATCCTCATGTCATAAAAGGAATCATAAAGTGTAAATTCTCGTTTACTATCCTACATTTTTTGTTGTAGCTGAATTTTTCAATATCCTTCTGAAGATGCTCATTTTATTCCTTAAGTAATGAAAGATATAATGCCTACTCATTTTAACCCAAACTTCCTTTAAGTGGGTCAGCATGCAACAAATTTACACAGTTATCAAAAGAGACTCATTGTAGGAGGAAATAGGGTGTGTTTTGAGACTACCTGTAGTGAATTTTTCACCATGTTATGCTCATATAAATTCTACAATAGTAATTAGATATTTATATTTATTAAAATACATAAGGGTTGTAAAAAGTGCAATTGGCCTTCTATTTTAGGCTTGCATAGTAGTTTATTGTCTGGGTAGGAACTGTTCTTCCCATATCATGTAATTTTTCTGTTCACTTCAGTCAGTTCAGTTCTTGTCTGCTGTTTCTGGAATGTAATTAATTCTTTTCTGGAATTGTTATCTAGATGGACAGAAAGAACCCTTTCTCTGGGCTCCCAAAGTGATTCTTGGGGTTTTTTTCTCTCCTTTTCATCTTTGAGAACATGGTCTTTAAATTAAGATCTAATTTGGCAAAATGCTGTATTTGTATTGAAAAAGGAATGATTTATTGGTTGCTGGAAATGCCTTACTCCATGCATACCCACGGAAATAGATTTACTAACATACATGGCTTTTAATTCCTGATAGGAAGGAGAGGGGCCATTTCAAACCAACCAGAGATTAAATGTCTGGGTACTGAAAGTTCCATAAGTACCTCCACAAGAAGGCACAGATGTTTTTATTTTTCTGATCCTGTTTAATTGCTACAAAGGAAGTTGTCTCCAAGTGGAAGTGACACTAACATTAGAGAATTATTAGGTTTAAATTAAATATGATGAAGGAGCCTGTGCCATGTGCATTAACTAACAGGTGCATCAGTCAGCTGGGTCCTTCCACATCAGACTTGAACTCAAAATTGGCATGTAACATTGGCCAGTAGCTTACTGGGAAAGAAAAGCTGTGGCTACACTCATCTATGTCATAGCTGGAAGGTAGATGCTTTTAAAGAATATAGTCACTTTTATTTAAATAACTGGATGAAGGAAGGTGGAGAGAGCAGCTGCATTTTGGTCCCAGGGAAATGGGAGTCTGGTACATGTAACATACTCAGCCTGATTGAGTGTGATTCTCTGAAGTCAGTTGAAAGATTTTAAAAGAAAGGCCCTGTTTCTAGGAAGAAAATCTTCAATAATGAACGTGCACATTTCTCTTTTCCCACGTGTATCTATCTGCATGACCAGGAAAGAAGTGACTGGGGGAGTATCTGTTTGCATGTAGGTAGTGAGTTTGAAGAGTAATCTTTTGACTTGTTTCTGTGGAAGTGAAATTTGAATTTCTGAAGTCAGTTTGTCAGGACTATCTGGGCTTATAAAGAATGCATGTTGTTTAGACAGCTTTGTTCGGAGACGGAACAGAAGACCACCTGATGAGGCCTTTCTGGCTCCCTCCAGCATGTTTGGAACAGATCCAGTGGGCAGTGAAGGTAGGAGTTCAGATAAGTGGTTCAGGATCTTGTACAAGGATGGAGTGATCGATACCGTTCTTAGTTTATTGCCAGAATTGCCTGCACAGTCTGTCTGTGGTTACGGGGACAACTTGGTTTGTGCTAACACCAGTGATTAATATTTTATGCTCTGCTAACATGCTCAAATCCCATGACAAATGAAGCGTGGTGCAGTATGAATGTGAATTGTAGCTCTTTATCAGAATTTGTTTGAACAGCTAATTGATTGTTTTCAGCCACTGTGTTTAGAATTAGCATCAAATTTCAACTATGGGAAAACAGCCTTGTTGTCAAGTAATGCAGTTCTGTCTATTGCGTAGGTAGTGCTAAGTTTGGCCAGTAACATCAACTAAAATTATAGAATAAATAAAACAAAAGTTTAGCTTTCAAGTCAATATGTAGCATCATAGAAGTGTAACTGTCAAACAGTGATCAAGCAATAGACCAGAATCTTGAAGTTTGTCAGTGTTTTGCTTTCCTTTGTATTGCAGCTCTTTGTATGAACGTTATTGTACTACTTGCTTGCATCTCTATTAGAGTACTGGTGGAGCTGAAGATATTCTGGACAATATTTTTAAGTCTCAGAACTTGTCACACGTTGGTAGCAGTGAAAATGGGGGATACTGTTATATTTGTTTCAGGTTGTGTATAAAAATTACTATATTAGTATCCCAAAATTTTGTTTTTTTCATGGGTTTGATGCAGAGAAAGATTTAATTGGAAGCCTTGCAAATATGTCCACCAGTGAAAGGATTAAGGCAATCCAGAAGATGCCAGGGACCATGAAAAAAAAGAGAGAGATCAGGTAAAAATATAAGTTTATCCATTTAGTTTTACAAACATTATACTTCTAGCAACATCTAGCTCTCAAGTATGGGATTTGCCATTTGCTCAGATTTGATTTGTCACTTTATGACTAAGAACTTTTTAATGCACTTTTAAAAAGTTAACATCTCACAAGGGAAATGATTTAAAGACGGAGATGAGAAGAATCTCTATGGTAATATAATACAGAATATCAAGATCTTGCGATTTGGTTATGAATGATGACTTCAGATCCCTTTTCAAAGGACATTTGGATGTTGGCCATTGAAAATGGAGAAGACACTGCATAGTCTCAACCATCCTTCTGTCTCCTCACAAAATATAGTTAAATTTTGTTCCCAATGTTAGTTAGTGGAGGGGTTAAAACATGCTGTCACAGCATGGGCAAGAGACAGGGGATCAGCTGATATAAAAAGAACCAGCAAGAACATCCTCATGTTTTGTTAATTCTGTTCATGTGCACATGAGTGAAGCTTCATTTGCAGCATCTTCTTTGGCTTTCTGTTTCAATTACAACTCACACTATAATGCTTTTCATCCCTTGCCCTGCTCTTCCACAGAAATAAAGTTCTTAAAGAAATAACAGAAAAGTCAAGGCACCGTGGCACTCAACTTTCCTGCTGTACACAGTGTCTGCAGGACACAGCAGTGGTAAGTGTCAGAAACTTCTGTCAGTCACAGCAGAGCAATCCACTTTAGCTCCAATGCTATCACTGTCTCCAGAGGAATCTGGTGTCTTGCTCCATGTCACTTACCAAAGAACCAGTTAATTGCTGCAGTGGTCGTTAGTGCATTATGGGAGCACTTAGGAACACCAGTTAAGCATCTTATGGTGTGTGGAGTGGGGCAGATCTGTTCTTAACATCAAAATGAAGCCATAAAAAATGTGAGGCTTTATTATGTGAAACTGCATCCTGTTTGCTTGCTGAGATTCATCTCTCTCCTCTTTTGCACTTCAGTCATTTCGGCGGTTTGGAAACACCATTTCAGAACATTTTCACCTGCTGCGGGTGTGGCACAAGACCCTGAAGATCATTGGTGCTGAGTTTGGAACGAGTGTTCTTTCTTATTTTATTTTCTTGAAGTGGCTGCTAAATTTTAACATCTTCTCATTCCTCATAAACTTCAGCTTCATCACAATTCCTCAGTTTCTTGCAGCAGAACCAAATAACCTTTCATTCACGGGTCTGGAGCTGCTCACTGGAGCTGTAAGTATTCAAATTTTATCTAAATGTAAGTTCAATCACGCTTGTGATTTCACGGTAGAGAATGGGACAGCTCCCACTTCTGTTAATTTGCCTTCAGATGATGATACTTTCCACCACATGGAAGTGATAGCAAACATTCTGAATAACGTCCTTGTCTTTTCAGGGTTATTTTCAACAAACAGTACTCTACTATGGCTTTTACACCAATGCCACAATCAGTAAAATAAAGAACGGTCCATCTTACAACATGCAGCTGGCCTATATTTTCACTGTTGGAGTACATTTTGTCATCTGTTTTCTTATCTTGTCATTCAGGTAAACTAACTGTGAATTCTTATTTCCTTTATATTAAGAGGAAAAAACCCAAACAACAAAAACCCCCCACCTTGTCAGCAGTTAGCAGTAATAATTACCTGAGTGTGTTTCTGCAAGTCCTCATTTCCAGGTATAAAGTAGAAGTTTCTGCTCAAAAGACAGTCTCCAAAATCCAAACCTTTATTAGAGAAATTAAAAATAACTGCAAAATAGTAAGGAACATGCAGAGAATCCGAGTTGAAACTAAAGTAACCCTTCATAAGCTGTTGCTCCTAATATAGTTCCTTATTGATGATGGCCTTCCAGAGGCAAAGATTGTCAGCAACTATTGGGAGAAGGAAATATGAAAGTTTTTTTCTTACATTAAAGTTTATTTTCCACATTGTCTTATGTGACATGCTCTGATACAGGTAATAGCCTTGGGACAGGATGGAAAAACTGACAAATTTCCCTTATCTCCCTTCTTGCCCTGCAGACTTGATGTATTTCCCATGATGCATCTCACAAATTCAATTTTCATTGCAGCATGGCAAACTCCTTCACCAGGAACTTTATTAACCCTCAGGCATACTCTGTGAATGCCAGCAAACTGCTCTGCACTTGGGACTTCAATATAACTAATGAAAAAGCTGTGAAGCTGAAACAAAAGAATCTCAGCACACAAATAAAGGTACAAAACACAGGAGGTACAAAGCTAACCTGCATGAGTCATTCTGCCAGAGACTTATTTGTGTGTGCACTTACAAATCTCTGGCAGAGTGACACAAGCAGGCTAGTCCTGTGCCTAAGAGACTTAAGTCTTCCTGACTGTTAAGTTTCATTTGGTTTAAGCTCCTGGAGTTGTCTTAGCTACTTGTTTCCCTTTTCTCTTTAAACTACATATAAATATTTGTATGCTTCTGAATGAACATCTGTGGCTATTAAATATTTGCCAAACAGAACATTTCTGATGTTTTTTTTCCTTCCTACAATTTAACCATTTTGTAGTCAAAAGGGAGGCTGGTAATGTTATCTGTGAGACACAACTTTTAGGATAGGAACACAAAGCTGTCCAGTAAATGTTCCTAGGATATCACTGTGCCCATCTAGAGAAATAATCTTTTTCATTCAGTTTCTCAAGGAGTTACTTGAAACTAGTGTTACCTTATGGTGTTGGCTAAGAAATTCTTTATTAGGAATTGTTTCCTTGCAGGAACACCTCAGTGAAGTAAACAAAGAAGTTGTAAATTTTTCTGTGACACAGAGAATTGCTCGTATTGGTGTTCATCTTCTTTCCTGGTTTGCTTTTCTGGGAACAGCAGTAGCTGCTTGTGCTGGTGTTTACTTCCTCTCCATCAATAACCTTGAGGTAAGGACAGATTTTGCAGTTTTCCACATGTGTATCTTACACTCAGTGCTGTTCACTACAAAGGGAAGCAGAGCAGTTTTCCTGCCAGTGCAGACACAAATTCTGCTGGACCTAAAACGCTGGTTTACAAAGGCTTTGCACCACTGGGGACTGTGGCAAGAGGGTGGGACCTGAGGGGTCTGAGTAAATCTGTCCGCTCTCTCCAGCAGCTGCTTGCCTGGGCCCATGGTTAGCTTAGGGATAGTGCAGCTGGTGACCTGGAAAAAAGTAGCAAGACCTGCCTCTTCTTTTCTAGGAGCTGCATTTGAGCTGGGGCTCCCACCCTCAGTGCCACACAGTGAGGGAGAAGGGGAGAAGGTCACTGTGCTGCAGGTCATGGGCCCATAAACATACAGGGAACATAAACATACAGGGAGGTGTGCCAGGTGTCTTCCCTGTGGACACACCCTGAGGCAGCATTTTGGTTAAGGCTCTAAGTTGGGGTTGTTTGATAGTGGTTTTTTTCCCCTCTCTAAGCTGTTTGTGAAAGGGCGTAACAATGACCTCGAGAGCCAAGCTGCCATGTTGGTGCTACCTTTGGTTGCAACTCTCCTCAACACATTCACCCCATTCTTCTACTCCTGGCTTGGACGCATGGAGAGGTTTCAGACTCCTGGACAGCAGATATATGTCACTATTGCCAGGTATTTGTTGCTGCCACCTCTTAGTGCTTTTTGCCTGAAGTTGTCTGACTCTTTGATACAAAGCTGTGCCTGGATGGTGTGGTGGGCAGTAGGGAGCTATGGAAGAGAACTCATCTTCTCCAAAGGCTTCTGTGCACTCATCTCTTCATGATTTGCCTGTCTTCCACGAGCCTTCTGGAGGGTTACATCTCTGCATGAGGAATGGTTTCCCTCTCAGGTGCACTGTGACACTGGGCTTAGTTATGTTTGTAGCATCCCTAGATGGCCCCTGGACTGTTGGCCCCTTCCCAGGAAAAGAAAGGAAGTGGAGAGAGGACTGAGGTCATTTCACTTAAAAACAGATGCCTGGAATTAACACTGCATAACCCCTGGTGTCCCTCAGACCTTCCTCCCCTGGGGAGCCCACACCCCCAGCCTGTTTAGCTTGTGCCAAGGTTGTCATGCCCAGCTCCCCTCCTGCCAGGACAATAGAACAATGGCACACCCGAGCTCCTAGGAGAGCTCCTGTTGGTCCTGGCAGGTTATAAAGTGTAACCAATGGTCATCCTGCCATCATTGCCTCCAGTGAGTTTATTGACCAGCTGTTGGTGCAGTTACTGTTACTTTCTCTTTATAGAAATATCATCCTGAAAATCTCTATTGTTGGAATACTGTGCTACTACTGGCTTAACATTGTGTCTGCCTCAGAGTCACAGGTAAAGTTTAAAAAATACAAATCTTTGACTTACAGTGCCAGTTTAGGAACCACCTTGATAAGATATTTGCTTCAGCAAAGAGAAGTACATGTGGTGTCTTGGAAAGCTGAGTTTGCCACCCCAATATTTTTTGTTAGCAAATTTGGAGAAATGAACTGTAGGGAAAAATGAATGACCCAGCTCAGGTCTCAGCTGGTTGGCAGTATTGTTCAGTGAGAAGTCAACTATGATTAGTCAGGCTGTTAGCATATATTTGATCAAGATTTCAGATCTTTGATCAAGTTTCAGCATTTGGGAACAATTTTAGAATTGCATGATTTTTGACTTCTTGGTATGTTTGATGTTTTTTCTTTTTTTTTTTTTTTTTCTTCTGCTTCTTGAAGTGCTGGGAAACTCTGGTTGGCCAGGATATCTATCGTCTTGTTCTAGTTGACTTCATATTTTGCTTGCTTGGCTCTTTCTTTGGAGAGTTTTTACGAAGGTGAGTACTGCATTTCTAATCTTGTTTTTATTCATTGCCCAAAGACATGGTCTGTTTTTCTCCTGTATGAGAAAAGTCCAGCAGAAGCATGGCTGTGGCACGACTGAAGCTTCCTTGATTGTCTCTCTGTGTAGATGCCCTGTATATGTTGCAGCTCCTCCTTAGTAGGAGGTCAGTGTGTGTGGCATTCTACTCTCCCAATGTGTCCTTTTTCTCTTTGGTGATGGAAACACTACATGGTACTCTCAGGGATCTGCTGAATGTGAGGTGACAAAGAACCAAGAGTCTCAAGCAGAAAACCATGTTTTCTCCACGGGCACACTGCTGCCTTTCCTTTTTTTGACTCCCTATAATTTTTTCCCCTCTCAATTATGTCACTACAGAGTGTCCATAAGTATAAAATCTGATTTTAGTCAGTCTTTTTAGGGGTGTAATATGACTCAAGTGTAGAGGTCTGCAGCATGGTAAGTGAGAAATATTTTTTACTGAATGTGAATTCAGCTCAGCAGGTAAGGAAAAAGTCATTTACTTCTGACATCTGCTGTGTGAACCTTTCTATTGCCAAACATTACTTAGGGCTTAGGCAGTAGAGTATTTAAGTGTTTGCCAGCTCTCCAGAGCATTCAGGTTCCTGATCCTATTACGTAGGAGATCCATTGTTTGCTCTTTGCCCATGGTGTGAACAGGACTGGTTTACAGGGTAAGACTTTGTTTTGTATTAATTTAACAAAAAGTTAACAATGTTGAGAAGGCTTTGAAGACTTTTCCTCCACAGCTCTTGCCAGTGTGCTTTAATCTTCCTGTTCTTGTGTTCAGATAGGAAACCACTTCCCAGCAAAAGGTCACAGAAACAAAACTGCAGTGTCAGCTCTGAAAAATGGCCTCTCCTAAGCTGGCCAAAAGCACCTGACTTAGAACTGTGAAAGGTTAAAAGTATAATTGCTTGTATTTAATTGTATGGGTTCAGAGCAACTTGAAAACCCAGCTCTGAAACACTGTTGATCATGTAGTTGATAAGGTGGTACCGAAGTGTGTATTCAAGGCAAGATGAAATAATTACCAAAATTGTTATTGTTCTTGCTACAACAAGCAGAAACTGGACCTCCCCACCTCAGGAAAAAATGGGGTGATAAAAAGGAATTATTGGTCCTCAGTAGGAATCTTCTTAGTACTTGCTTACCTGTGTTTGTCTCAGCTACTTGCAACCTCAGTAAGTTTGAAACAGGATATACTTCACATATATCTGAAGAGTATCAGACTACAAGACTCTTTTTTTTCTGATTGAGGCGGGAAATTCTCAGGACTCAGGACCTGAAAAGCTGTTACAGTTTTGTACCGAGGCAACTTGACATTTCGGCTGCTTAAGCACAAACATACTTGTGCTTAAAGTAAATAAGAAATAGTTACCTTAGTAGAGATATTTACTGATACAGTAACAAACCGTTGTTTGTTGTCTTTTTTAGTTGCATGAAAAATATCCTAGGTCTTATTTCAACCCTCCTGTGTGTTATGGGAATTCACTTTTGCCAAATTCTGTTTCATTTTTTATATGTTGTGTGCTGAACGAGCTCTGGCTGCTTTGCATGATGTTAATGCAGCCCCTTAATAATTTGTCATTGATGCTTGTATTCAGGGGGTCTTTTGCAGGGATCTCTACAGAGGGCTTTATCACTTAGCAAATGCTATTGTGCTGTAGCTTTTGGTTTTCCCCCCCAGAATTATTGGAACTACAGTCTGTGTGAGCCTGGGGCAGCCAGAATTTGATATCGGACGAAATGTTTTAGATTTGATCTATGCACAGACCTTGACCTGGTAAGTGTTACATTTACAGGCAAAACTTCATTTGCACTTAGAAATAGCATGGGACATTCTTATTCTGACATTTCTGGGTGCTTCCCATCATGGGGGAAAAACAAGATAAGTTCCTGGGAGGTGACCTATTAAGTACCTTTGGGAAGGATTGCAGCTTGCCAGTTTTATTTATAATTCTGTGGGTAATAACAATAACTTCAGTCAATAGTTTATCCAGTGGCCACCTGGTCTGTGAGAAACTTGATAGGTTCCTGCAGGAGTATCCTGGAATTTTGTTTACTTCCCCACTGGAATGATGTTCCTGTTGAAATAGTTTCAGTATTAAACCCTGGAAAAGACGCCTTATTTCTAAGAATGAGTATGTTACTCCAATTATAAGAGAGTTTTGCAAATCTGCGCATAGATATGTATGCTTGAAGTTGCATATTTTCCAAGGTGGACTTAATGTTACAGGGTCAAGGTTAATATTTCCAAATAATCCAACACTATCTGTATATGAAGTTACTGTGATAATTTTTTGCTTTCAGTGCACGGAGAGTAGTGTGGTGAACTGTGAAGATGTAACTTTTTTTCTCTGTAAATCCCTTCTTGTAGGATTGGTATCCTGTTCTCACCTCTGCTGCCTGGTATCCAGATGATAGCATTTTCTATAGTATTTTATGTGAAAAAGGTAACAAACGTCATATGTATTCATAATAAACTTGCACTGTCTGAAATCTGGGCAGAATTTATTTTGTTAAGTGCTGCTTTTGGTTGAGGCTGTGGGGTTTTGCATTTAGGGGAGCAGTTTGGTTGATTGGGATTTGCTTTAAAGGATGACTAGTTAGATGCACACCCTTGAATTACAAATCTGTGAAATCTGAGAGGGGAAAAAGGTGTTGGAAGGGTTATAGGAGGAGTTAAGAGCACAGCTGGAGAGGGGAGAAGATGAAGTAGTAAAATTAAAGGCTGAGGAATTAACAGTGGACAAGTGCATGTGTCAGGATAGACAGTGACTGTGACTTTGGCCTCCCATTTTACTCCCCAGCAATGCCCCTCTGCCAAGTTATCTAAGTGTAAGTAGGGTGATTCAGCTAAAGATCATGGTGGAAATTTCTTCTTTTCAGAGTTGTCTCAGTATTATGATGAGGTGATAAGTTGTCTGTTGGATCATTAAGCAGTTTGTAGCCTTGAATGTAGAAGAACAAAGCTGTAGGTAGAAAGATGGATTCAAACTCCTCTGAACCAAGGGGTTTGCATATGCTGCAAAACCAAATTCTACCCAACAGAGTCCTGAAGGAGCCATCAGAACCTCATTTTGCCGCTTGCTGTTTAAAGACTATATTCTTGAGGTTTTCTAAAACTACAGAATGTCTATCAAATTCATATAAAAGAAATCCTTGGAAACTTTTGATAGATGCTGTTACAGAAATTTCAGTGGGATCGACTTAAGCTGAAGTGGGAGGTAACACCATTCCAAGAGTACCTTCATCTCTTTAAAGGTCAGCCTGATGAGGAATTGCCAGCCCCCTCGCAAAGTCTGGAGAACTGCTCAAATGACAACATCCTTCATGTTCCTACTGTTTTGCCCTTCCTTCCTTGGAGTCCTGTGTGTCATTGGAGTCAGTGTCTGGAGGTATGGAAGGTCACTGGTGCTCAAGCCTACTAAATTATACTGTGTGACCTGATACCAGGCAGAGGAACCTGCATTTCTCCATAGGAAAAGCTATATTAATTGCTGATGGAAGGTTTCAGATGCTCAGGAGATGTTCTGTATTCTGAGAACAAGAGATGCTGGGTGAGCCTGGGAGAATGTAGCTGAGTAGCTTGTCCCATAAGAAAGTGGGACAAGAAACAAAGTTGCATTGAAGTTTTGGGTTCCTATTTAAATGTAGCATCAAACTCCTTCTCAGAAGTTTCTGTGACTGACTCTTGGTTTCTGGGCTTACATATGTTATAGGCTATACTGGGTCTGCAGCAGAGAAACACCTGAAAAAAACTCAATTGAGGTCAACTTCTGGATTATTTATGAACTTCAGAGGCTCTTTTTGCAGGCAGTGCTAACCTCTGTAATAATCCGTCTCAGTGCTACCAGTATTTTAAAGCTGCTTTGGTTTTGTGCATGTTGCTCTGACCACAGTAAGGAGGGGCAGCCTTTTCCTTGACTTGTCAGCAACATGATTTCAATATTTAGTAAGACAAGTGACTACACATGAAACTAGATGGGATGAAATCTATCAGAGCAAACATTTCCAGATGGCAAGGGGGAATTTCAGGCTGCCTGGAGTGCTTCAGCTTCAAAGCAAAGAACACTTTCTTATTTCAGTCTACCTGATAATGTTAATTCTTGCAATGGGCTGCCTTAGCTCAGCACATTCTGTTGATACTGAAAATCTGCAGTGACTCATGGCCCTGAAGGCAAGGTGAAAGGATGGTTCCCTGTGGTGAAACTTGAAAAAAGTCCAGTTTTTCACTTTGCTGTAGCTTGTGCTACAGTGATTGACATGTTACATTGAGGTCAAGATTGTGTTTACAGGGCTTGGCACTGATCCACTGCAGCAACTGCATCATCTCAGGTGGGCATTTAGTGGCTGCAGAGGGACTCAAGTTAAAAATGAAACACAGATCATGGAAGTACCTGAGAACCCAAAGAGAACAGAGGGCTAGAGCAAACTGATGAGAATCTTGATGTACAAAATCACAGCATTGACTAAGTTCATTGGTTAGTATGTGAAGTTTTTGAGTAGCTATTTTCTCACACTTCCAGGTTAAAACCTTCAGAAGGATGTGGTCCTTTCAGAGGCTTGTCTTCTATGTATGCTGCAGTGTCTGAGTGGATACACACACTGGAACATTACACTGCCTCAGAATGGGTTGTGTGGATCTACCATAACTTAATTAAAAGTGAACTTTTCTTCTTCATCCTCTCTAGCATTGTACTGTAAGTATCTGCTTATGAAAAGTGGAAAAACCTGGCAGTGACATAGCCCTTCTTCATAAAAAAAAAAAATAATTGCAAATTGCATTTTAAAGCATCAGAAATAGTTAATGTGTTGGAAATTCATGTATTTGAAGTACATAAAGAAGTTATAAAACCTATTCCTATTATGTTGGAATGCCAAAGCTCTTCACAAACCAGCTGCAAGCTAACCCTGTGTGGAGTTAGGGGAATTTTGGGCCTCCCTTATTTGGGATTCCTAGTTTTGGGCTTCCTTTGTTTTTTTCCTTTCCCTGTCTGGGCTGGGAGGGTGTGGTGGTACACAGCAGCATGTCCAAGGTGCACACCATAGGGGGTAGTAGGTGGGTTGCAATCTCCTTCCAGCTAATCCCAGGTGAACTCACATTCTGTCACCTTGGCTGAAGTCAATTATTTTGGGAAAACCAGTATGTGCACATTAAACTACGTGCCCATTGGTGGGGTTTGAAGTCATAGCTGTGCTGCTGGGTATTTCCAGTGTGTCCTTGTGCACCTGAGAGCCCAAATCTTTTCCCATTAAACAAGATCCCACTCGCTGTAGTGGGACCAGGACTGGCCTGGAAGCAGTAAGTGTTCCACATTGTGATTTAAGGTCCAGGCCTGTGCCCAAGCAGATGACACAAGGTTGGATAAGAGCAGTAGGTTCCTGTTTGTTTTCCAAAATGCACCTTGTATTGCTGACTTATTTAATTGTACCTCTCATATTTTATACAGGTTCTTAGATCTTTGGGTCTTTGTCAAGAAAATGTTTTAAGCAATTTCATGTGTTTGCCATTCCTTGTGTAATTGTGTACATCTACTTTATATATATGTGTGTGTGTGTGTGCAGAGATGTATGTATGTATGTCTTTTAATGGATTAAAATAAACAGGATAATTTTCTGTTTAGACAATGACTAGGAGGAAATGCTCATATGTTGGACTTTCTTGTTTTGTTTAGAATTATTGCTTATCTTTACTGGCAAATAATACAAGGAAGAAAGACCATGACCAAACTCTTACGTAAGCAAATTATTAATGTAAGTTTGACTTTCAGCTGTATCTTTTTTTATACTTTGGCTTCTTTGCTGATTGTCTCATCCAGCTTTGTGGTGCTGTAACCTGTTTTGCCTATGACTGCAAGGGAGGGTGGGAGCCCTCCCTCATGGGACTTGCAGAGAAATTTAACTCACAACTAGAGTTGTTGCAAAAGAATTGTATCTTCAAGATGTGCTGCAGCAGCTCCCTCTGTAGACCGATTATTTTAGGATAAAAGGAGTTATTCTCATCAGTGGTTACTTACAGGCCTTGAGCCTCTCAGGAATGATTAGTCCATTCCAGCTAATGATCTAATATGTCTTGACCACAGGCAGCAAAAGATAAGATGTTTTTACTTGAAAAACTAAGGAGACTGCAAAGGGCAAACCGAAATCCATCTGCAGTGAGAGGACAAGGCCAGCAGGTCAGTCTGCCTGTTCAGGTGCTGCTGTTTAATTATGTGCTTGGTTTGATTCCACGGGGCTCCTCCAGCCCTGCAAATAGGCTGCCCTGTAGGGATGTGTCTGTATTTATAATTTCATGCAAACTGATTGATTACTAGTTAACTCCAGACAGCAAAAGGATATTCTGAAAGTTCCCTAACTATTTGTTCCGGGCTGGAATTTAACCTGGGAAGAATATAGAAAAGTCCTTACCCTCACCAGGCATAATTTATGACTATGAAACTGCAAAAAAAACATTCTTAAAGTGTGCACTGATGATCACAAAGGGTTCAGCCACACTTGAACCTTGCCTAGGCTGGGAATGAGGCTGCCTTCCTCCACTGACTCTGGATTTCCTCAGGGTTTTATAGTTTGTGTTTTTTTCAACTGAGGTAAAACTGAGTGCTTTGATATTTAAATCCCATACGACATCGATAGACATCTGATTTAAACTTAAATTTATTTTTCAAGGCAGTCCTGCCCACCGACCAAACAAATTAGTGTAAAAATATACACATGTAGGTGCTGTCTAGTGTTTTAATTTGTGTTGAGTAAAAACTCCTTGACCTACATACTAGCAGACAAAAAGTTTTTGGTAGGTTCCCCTCCTTCCTCCCAAAAAATCAAATCCCTCTGTATGACCGGCCATCATTAAAGTGATAATATAAATAAATATAAATGAATAAACATGGATAACAGTTGATATTGATCTACTGTTAAATATAAATACATGTGTGACAATATAAGTAAATATTGGCTGTAAAGAGGGGAGCTGAAATTGAAGAGACATTTTCTGTGTGCTGGGGATTTTCAAACAACCAGTGGCTGTGTCCAGTGTCACAAGTGGGACTCCTGAGAGGAGGGTTTGGTAGACTATGAAGTGTGGATATGCTTGTAGTTGTTAAGGTCAGATTTCAAAAGGAGATGCCAGAATAATCTCACTGTGGATCTAATAGAAAGGCAAACTCCCTCAAACAAGGGTATGAGCGCTGCTGACCATAAAGTCACAACTGGAAGCCAGAATACAGACTGCTAATGTCAAATACTCTGTCTTTCAGAGAAGCTCCTCTTCATACCACCCATCCAGGCAACCTGCCCAGCAAGTGCCAGGCTACCCAGGAGAGGCATTTGACAGAGACCAAAACACATCCTACACAGAGGTGAGATGGTCAAAAGAGGGAAACCTGCTAGATTTCCTTATATAGAATCTGGGGGGTGATACAGACAATGGGTGTATGTGGAGCAAAGAGGCCATCCTGTGTGCATGGAAAATAACCTTAAAGATTAATTGGAGCAGGTATAAAAGTGTAATCAGAATAGCTGTTGGAACACTTCTAATCACAAACCTGCTCAAGACCTGGAGAGTATGCCTTTGTAACAGGTAACTGGTATTTTTTTAAATAGAAGATAACAGGCACATGAGGGAAATCATGACCTAAACCTGCTTGTGAATTTTGTTTTCAGTATCCCTATTCTGCTGGGATCTCAAGTGGCACTGACTTCCCACTAGGTAAGCAACAAAGATGAAACACAGAAAGCTCTCAGAAGTTCAGCTCAGTAAGAATGTTTGTCGTAGAGACACAGCGTGTAACAGCTGGATGTCAGGGACACAGCTTTTAGCATCTTGTACAGAGAGAAAACAAAAAGATTGGGTTTCTGGGGTGAACATTTTTTATAGGATGTGTTTATTGGTAGCTTGTTCTGGTGTTGATGGTGACTTCTGAAGACTGTATACCAGAAAGTGGAATTTCCTTGGGCAAAGGAGCCATTTTGTATTATGGGAGCACCCACAGACAAGAACATTAAATCACTTCAGAGACGGGCTTCACATCTTGGTGTGATCTCAGAAGAGGTTAATAACGATGCAGACTCCCTAGGACATCATCATGTTCAGAAAAAAAACAGCTACAGGATCTTGCATGGTTGTCTGAGCTATTCCCAGTTTACACAATCATGTCACTTCATTCCAAATACTTGGCAGATGAGACCCTTAAATAACACGGGGCTTTTTAATGGGGGTGGTGGTTACACCATGTCAGCACAGTTAACAATGCCTCTGTGGTGACAGATGGGGAGCCAGCCCAGCCCAGCAGCAGTGGCATGTCCGAGGCCGTGGCACTCGCCCTGCGCGCCAGAGAAGCGGCTCAGTGGGACGACGATGATGATGATGAAGGATATTTTCAACCCTGAGCAAGCACAGTCAGTACAACTGATGGGTGTCCTGCAGAAAGCAACATTCTTTTGCACTAATGACTCAAAGAATCACTCAAACATATTTTTACCTCTAAATGGGACAATAAACAGAACAAAATGCATCCCAACTGCAGTTTGTTGTGACAGGGAATATCCTGTGTGATGGGTTTGTTTTGCAGCAGTGGTATTCTGGTGACACTCACCTCGATGCAGTGAGGCTCCCTGCACAGCTGGCCACTTGTTCTTGACTGAATATAAGGAAACTTGTGCCTAATTGTAAATAAAAGTTATGGTTTAAAAATATTTTTGTATCAGTTACATCGTTTAAACTGCTTTTATCTGATCTAAACCAAACCTGATGTATTGGTTAAATAAACATAGAAAGAAATTAAAGTGCACTTGTTTTTAATGACTCAGATTGTAATGGCTGGGAAATAATTTGTGTGAATGAGGTTAAACTTCCATTCCATTTTCACTTTTCTGTGCCATTTTTACAGTTTGTTACAGTTACTCAAAAGCAGCTTTAATGTTAAAAGCTCTCAGAACTCATAAGAGTGACTACTTATCAAAATTCTCATCTCTGTAAAACCACTGCCTGTAAACTAAAATTTTTCACATCTTTTCCCATAAAGGATTGATTGGAAGTAACACAACAGAGATTTATTTTTTCACCGTGCATGACTGAGACACGGTTCAGCTTCTTTTTATTCAGAGTCACAACTTTACCATCATGATAATTTGTTTTGTTTAGCCCATTTTCTACTACTGCCTGGTTTATTCCTCCCTCATTACTTTGGATATAAAAATGAGGGACATCTTTTACTCTTGCTTGTAATTTAGGCTAAAGACAACCCAAAACCAGCCCCCAAAGGCACAGAAAAAACGACAAACTTCACACACAGTGCAAGACCAGAGATTCAATTTTATTATTTCCCTGTGTGTAAAGCTGTGCAGTCTGGCTGTGAGTATTGGATGTGGGCCTGGAGTTTGCACTGAGGATGTGACTCAGCAGTGCCAGCAACTCCAGCAACAACTAAAACTGGACCTTTGGAGCAAGGACCATTTGCCACGAAGTCTTTTGCCCTTCAGTGGCCATGTGGGGAGCTCCTGTCAGGCTCAGCAGTTAACAGTAGAGGCTACAGCACTCACTGAAGTGGCTGGACAGAAGCTGAACATAATGCACATGTGCTATAGGATGTGCACCAGAAGGCTGAGATTGTTGCTTCTGCAGTGCAGGGTGGATGAGTGACATGAATGGAAGAGGTCCTTGTCTTCTTGACAAGGAAAAGCACCTCCTTTGTGCTTCTTTGTGCTTGTATGTAGCTCAAGATACAACCAGAAAATCCATCATTCCTGGCAGAACATAGCATGAATCTGCACTAATTTTGACATTTTACACCAAGGCACTGCTGCATGGCTCAAAAAGAATACCCTTCCCATGAGTTCTCAGATACTTGTTTATTGTAATGGCAGACTCTTGGAAGTTCAAGTTAAATCTGGATTACAGTTTCCATAACCCTTTGAGTGCCCTTCAATCATGCAAACAATAAGCAAACTAAAAAGACATGTCAGCTCCATTTGTTCTACCTCTTACCAGCACTCCATATGTACCTTTCTTTTAAAAATAAATACATTCATGTGCTGTGTCATTAGAAGAAACAGTTTCCTATCCTCCCTTAGCTCTTCTAAAAAGTCTGGAAGATAAGAAGCTAAACAAGTTTTATTTGTTAATTCTCATAGCCTTCACATTCCACATGGAAAGGTGGCTTTTTTTTTCCTTGTCAGGATGCAGCACAGCCATCTTTCCATGCAGGGGAGGGAAATATACTCACCCTCTTTATTGGCACCATTACTTTCAGGTTCTGTTTTAAGAACAGCAATGTAGATGTCTTAAAGACACCATAAATCCACCTCAAATTATTATACAGTTTTAGATCATGCTGTTAAAATTACTAAAATCAAGGTATGACTTTAAATTTTGACAACAAAAATTGCTAATAGGAATTTATAACCAGAATTTAAACACAGCAAAGGAATAGTCAGAGAATTATAAAGCCACCTGCACAGACAAGGTTTGGCCCAGTTTGCTTGTCAAATCCGATTCTTTCACATTACAGCAATTCCCTCAGACTGTGTGTGGCTGCACCACAGCTCTGTCCAGTGCCCCAGAAGGGTTTTCTGCATTTGAGGCTTGACCACAGGCAGAAAAAAACTGCTGCTCTGCCTTTTCCCAGAACCATTGTTATAGTGGTCCATCGGCACTGCTGGATGCCCTGTGGATGGTGAATGGACAGGCTGGGGAGGGAGTGCAAGGTGGGTCAGTAGTGAGGGTCACAGTCCTCCACCAGGCTGTCAGTGATGTAGCTGCACTCAAGGACGTTTTCTAAGTAGTTTTTCTCTGCAAACGTGTTCACTGTCCAGGGAACCACGTGAATTCCTTTTGAAGACCAGTGACTTACATAGTCCCTGCAAGGGATGAAGACACTCTAAGAGGAGGTTGACACAACCACAGAGAGAAGGCAGACAGTGCTGAAGCTACATCAGGGTTTTAGTCTTGCGTCAGTATGGCACCAAGAACAACAGCGTGTCCTCTTTTGCAACATCATCTTTTCGTGCTTTGTTATTGTAAACAGGAAAAAGCAACAGTTTTCCTCTTTGAAAGTAAACCCAAAATCTAACATAAGATAAAAATTCAGAATAAAAAGACAGAGGCTTAAAATAATAAAATAGCATGGAGTAAAGAAACTGTCAAAACAACCTTACCCAACACTAAATGGAACATTTTGATAAGCACATACTGCTTTAACTCCACCCTATAATAGAATGCTAATATCTCCTGGTATACGAGCAAGCTTTAACACTTACTGAGAAACAAAATTTTTCTGTATGAGGAAAGCTGAATTCCCACACAATCGCCACAAGAAACTGTGTAGGCTCCAATCCACAATGATATCCATCCCCACATACAAGTAGTGTTTCCAGAAGGAACGGAAGCGGCGTGTCCCATCTCCCAGGTGACTCAGGTGCCAGGGCCGGTGAGTAAGGGCTGTCACGACCTTTCTGTCAGCTCGTCTCATCTGCAAGACCGAGGAGAAAAGACTGGAATTCATCCACAAGCTCAGATGCATTACATACAATTTTTGAGATTTTCTCTACCACAATCCTTCTCCCCTTCCTCTCCAGGTCCTTTTGTAACTATTTTGGAAAGCTGTTTATGAGATTTTTTTTTTTTTTTTTAAAACATACTGAGTAAGCACCTGCTCTTATATTAAAAAAATTACACAGCAGTCATGCAATGTATATACTGGAATGAAATACATAGTAAGTAGCAGTGGAAATGACAATTAGGAAACAGTTTTAAGAATAGTCTATGTTTACATCAAAATAAGAGGTTTATGTAGCAGGTACCTTGCACACAGATACCTGGCCACACACCAACTGTAATGGCAACACACTTTTTCCTGCATTGCTTTCAGAATGGACGGACTTACAGTGGATTCACATGAGCCTTTAATGAGTAGACTGATCTAATAAGATTATGCATTATGCTTCATTTGCTTTTAAAAGTCTTGGCAATTTTAACAACCCAAAAGCAACCTGGAACTGGGAATTTTATACCACAATGAAATTACCAGGCAGGACTAAAAAAATCCAAAATAAACTTTTAGGAAACATCACCTTATAAACAACATCTGGCATGAAGGAACAGACTATGCTGCTGTCATACAACTGTGGAAATTCCAGGTAGAGTTGTTTCAGGGCATCAACTGCCTACAATGAGAGACACGCACAGGGGTTATATTTATACATACACTCATATTTACACTGCAGAGTCATTCTAGAACAACGTCCTTTAAAAACATTTTCCAGTTTTGTGTAGCAAGATTGAAATAGAAAGGGGGAAGAAGAAAAATAGCATCTTGCTTATAGTAGTAACACAGAAATGACATTTTGGTTTTTTGCAACAGAAGTCCTCTTTGTGATTCTGTTTACAAGAAGCAGCATTCTCAGTGTTTGAAATACCCTTAAAGACAGTGTGGATATAATTCTGACATACTACTCGGGGTTTAGTTCAAGAGGAAAATGAATGTATTTCCATATTTTGCTATGCTAAAGAAAAAATTATTCTAATTTGCATAAAATGTTAATGACTGATCATCTGCATCTGCCTTCAGTAATGCAAATTACAGATCCCTTGTTGAAGGCTGAGGATGAGGTGCTGGCTCCCCCCAGCACAGGCAGCAAACTCAATTTGCTTTGTTTCACTGTGGTGCTGGGAGTTGAACGTAACACTCACACACACCTTGTGCTAATTTTAAGTTGCAGCTTCCCAGAACAACTTTGGATGACACAAACAGCAGGCCCAGTCCCGCCCATACTCAAGAAGGGTGGGTACCAGATGTATCAGTTTGAGACCAACACAACAGCAGGCTAGAAACCCACAGAAGGTGTGAGGGAAGGCGTCCTGATAAGTGAGCAGTACCTGATCTGCATGGCCTTTGACATCAAAGTAGATTGTAAGGTTGTGACGCATGGACTCCACAACACCTTCTCTCAGGGTTGGTACCTTTTCACCTGGGAATTTGCTCCTGTAGAAATGGACAAATCACTGGAATGCAGTCAAGACACACGTGCACATACACACACAGGCACACGTACCCCCAACCACAGAGCTGTTTCCTAAACACAGTTTGCTACAGTAGCACTAGAACTGGGATCAAGTAGTGGCAGCAGTGTCTCTCTCACCCAGTAAGACTGCACATGTAGAGGGATATGTACACATCTCCTTTTCCCTCAGAATCTCACTGATTAATCCCACAATTAAATCCTTCCAAATTCAAGTTCTAATCTGATGCTCACCAGCCCCATGTTCTGCATCCAAACACTAAGCTCAGTTCTTCACCTCCTTCCCCAACTCCTACAAACAAGCATTCAGTCCCAACTGCTGCCTTCCTCCTGCTCTGACTGTGCTCCCCAGCCCTGAGCCAGAAACACAGATCCTGGCAGAACAGGCAAGACAAGCTGAGGAGGCAGCACAGTCAGCTTCACCCATCAATAAAGGATTCCTGACACGGTGACAGTGAACAACAGCTGCTCAGCAGTCGCTGCCTGTGTGGAAGTTCTCTCTGTGTGGCTCAGGTGATCACCTTTCCAGTAAAGGGGAAGATACTCTTGTACCACGGACCCACGGGTGGCACATTTACAGGAGGCTGGAATTCCTTAATCCAGTGTCTCAGGAGCACACACTACAAGTTCTTCCTCTGAAAAGGATTCACTTACAATACTGCAGAAGTTGCAGTGTTAGCAAATTTTTAGTAATGTATAAAAACATTTTCCCCTGCATGCGCCCGGGAAGGACCTAATCAGCCATGGGGGTCACAGTGAGACACCTA